GAAGTCATCTGCAATGTATTTGAATGGGCTTGCCTTCAGTTGCACCTTAATTATTTTAAATTTTTTCAGAATTCTTATTTTGAATGTGTTCATTTCCAAGAACCATAAAATTATAAATTTTAAAGAAAGGTCGTAAAAGGTAGTTTTTATTGCTTGTTTACTCTTTTCTTGGAAAATTTGCTGCTAAATTTACGACTTTTTATAATGGTCATTGCATGAGCTTGGCTAATTTAACGGAGCTTTAATCAGTGATGGGTTTATGTCTTCCGTCGTTTCGATTTATCTTTATCTTAATTCTTCGTGTTTTCTGCTTTATGATTTAAGAAATCATCGATTAATAGCAGTATGAGGAACATTTTAATATTTTAGAGGTTACGAAAGGATAACTTTTTGAAAAATTGCTTCTAAATTTTCTTGGTCTTACTTAGTTGACGCCGCTATACAATTTAAAGTTTGACCATACTCTAAACAAATTTTGGGTGTTATTTAAATTAAATGATTTATTTGAACCCATATAAATGCCAAAACTTCTGCTGTGATTCAACAATTTCTAATGATTTTAATGGAATTTACCAGCATTACATTTGAGGGATTTCATCATGCAATCAGTTTTGATTTAGCAATTAAAAATTAAATAAATGAAAAGCTTCCGGTGAGCAATCAAGGATGAATATTATTAGGAAGCTGTAATTCAATTATTAAGTAGTAATGAGATTGATTCGTTGATAATTTTACTAATAAATAATATGAGCATGTTCACAAATCACCCATGCTTTCTTGTTAAGGCTCAATGAGCGTGAAGTGAAATTTCATTTCATCATGATTATTACATTAAGGGAAAGGCCATGTAAATATGTATTTAATGAATGACAAGTTAGGGATGTAATAATAACATATTTTAAAAAATAAAATTGCATATTTTAATTAACCTTTCGTGCTCATTTAATGTTTCAATCTACTTAACACGATCTCGGTCACTTCCTTTTTCAATTTTGTGCAAGAAAAATAAATAATATGCAGATTGAGAAAATATATGTAAAATGCGAAAATTTGTAAGCTTAAAAAATTATTCATCACGCAATACCACATAGACCTCAAAAATTATAGCTTTACACTGCATTAAACTGCATTTTTCCGAACGAATGCATTAATTAGCTCCTTTCTTAATGTGGAAAATTTATGACCTACACTTTAATCGTTAGTCGTTGACATGTAGCATGAGGAAGAAAAGGTGATCGTCTTTGAAATAAAATGTATAACACTAAACCTGTTCCGACTGTCTTTAATATTTTTTTATGTCGCATTGAAGGTAGAAAAACCACCTGATAATTAATGTTCTGATCGGATCACACACAAAAAAAAAAAACCAGCAACGGAGCGACACAGAAGACAGAGTTCAATGAATTCATTTACGGCGCAAATGAATTCTTGTGTCTATCGTAAAAGAATTCCTTTTTTCTCCCGCCAAACACAACAAACTGTTTCGATTCGTTCAATCGTCCCAATGTGTGGGCAAGATCAAAAATGAATTGTTCGTGACGCTTAACAAAAATTTACAATTTTTGAATCAATAATGCGAAATATGTATTTAAGACTTGTGTTTTTCTTAAAGTCCTTGCCAAGACCTATATTTTGGTGTATAACAAGTATCTCTTAGACATTGTATTATAATTAAAAATTAATATAAAGTGCTAAGCGTCACGAACAATTTTGAGGAAATTCGATTTTACACCATGTTGCAAATTTAATATCTCTGCGAATACTTCATTAACCATAACGATTTTTTCACCAGATAATTAAGTAATCAGATCATTAAAAGTTTTGTCTAAAATATACAAAATGGCGGATTTGTAAGTTAGCTTAATTCAGCTTTAAAATGTTGAAGCTGAAATTTTGATATGAAGGAAATAGTTTAGGAACTATCTTTCTTTACAAAAAAGGTTACATATGTAATTTTCTTTAAGTTTGTGAGAGAAAATTTTCAATTCTACTGTAGTTAACCAAGTTATGATGAGTTTTACAAAACTAGTCATAAGTCATTGCTGTGTTATTCGTCTACTGATTTTTTCATTTCAAACTATAGAATTCAACAATGTTTATCATATTGCAAAAGAAATATTACTTTTTGTTCAAGACAAGCAGAGAAAATTAAATTATAGTAAAAAATTTGACCAAAAATCTTGTAACGGTTTTTAAAATTATAAATTTGTGAGCAAATAAGAGCAAAATTTGTTGCTCAATTTAAATTTCATTGTTTTTATAGTTAATTTAACTTACTTTTAAGCCTTTTTCGAATGTAAATTAAATAGTAAAAGACTCTTTAGATATCAAGTAATTGTTCTTGACCGATTAAGGTTAATAGTTTTGATTTAAAAATACATTTTACATTCAATTTGGTTGTCAGTTAATTTAACTAAAATAACTCATTTTTAATAAAATCTATTTTGATCATATGATAGAAAAAAGCAAGCTCTACAACTTTTGTCAAGCTTCCAAACATTCATCTTGCTTTCTTTTCAAAGAAAAATCGATTTCAAATATTAATTTGTTAATTAAACTAACTCAATAAGTCGCCATTTTGAAAAATGAATGTTAAAAAGAAACTTACTATTATTAGCTATCATGTAGTGAAGGAATCATATTAATTAAGTTATTAAAAGCAGAGAAATCTGAATTTGAATATTTATTCCCTTTTTTTCTGATCTTGCCCGTGTATTTATTTTTTCTTATTTTCTCCTTTCATAATTGTATAATTTATGACGATCATCAGAAACTGCTGTTATTAATATCATCAATTTCTTTGGTTTTAGCTCGTTTTTCTTCGAGATATAAATGCAGTTTGATTACCTTTTGGGAGTGTTGAGCAAATGTTTGAAGAGTTATTATTATCATTGAGTCAGCAGCTTTTGTTTGCTTTTTAATTGATGCTAGGACTGGAAATGAATGGGATTTATAATATTGAATTGTTTGAAATGAAACGCTTTGTCTTATAAGTCATTCACTTAGGACGAGTAGCATTTAATTGATCAAAGGTTTGATGTCATATCAAAGAGAGATCCAGAAAAGAAGAAACATGAATATTTCTAGAACTTTACTTACAAATGTCCCAAAACATTTTAGCAACTTAAATTCCACAAGCCTCAATCGCCCTATTTATCATCAATTTTCACAATCACTCAACATTATTAATATCTTTTGTTCCTCATTCTGCCAATATCAACAGACAGTTGTGCCACAGCAAAAGAAGGAAAATGACAAAACACACATAAAATAATTTTTTAAGAACTTTTTACTTATATATGTCGGACATAAATTTATATTAAGGAAATAGAGAAACATCTTTTCGTACAAGTCCATTTTGTTGAGGGCGCAGGTGACGAATGAATTGGTAGTCGAACATGATGTCGATCACGTATTAACAATTTTCCAAAAAAGTATACTTTAAGAAATTTATTTCGTTTTAATGTCTTAAAGATGAGTCGTAGAGAGACGTGAAGAAAGCGCAATATGCACAAACATACATGCAGTCTGCCTTATTCCTTAAAAAAATATAACAAAGAGCGAAAGAAAGAAATGCACAAAAAGGGAGACAGATGTTGGATGAACTATGTATACTTATTTTTTTTTTTGTTAATCTATCAGACATGGCTTAAGAATAAGAATAAGAAATAAGAGAGGCAGAGATAAAATGCAGAAGTATAGGAACTAATCTTCGAAGACGGTCACAGCAACAATAACATTTTTTTTTTAATATTCTCGATAAATATGCTTCAATTATTCTCTTGTTGCCAGTTTTTTTGCATGCATTCGACATGCTGTTGCTCTATAAAATTGTAAATATTGACCACATGTATACGTGCATAAGAAGAGAGTAAAAAGAGACTAAGAATGAGAGAACAAAACAATATCAATCCTAACCAGAGCATAAACTTGAATCAAATTCAATGACCATAAATGGATGATTATTGAATCCATAACATAAAAAATCTCAAACTTGTTCTTACGATTGTTTACTGCTGTCATCGTGTTGTTTAAAAATCAATCTGAATATATTTGAAGAATGACCAACAAATGTTCACGTATAGTCGATGGAGTATAAAAAATTTGTGAAACAACTGTTATTTTGACTTCTTCTTTAAAACATCACCTGAATTTAGTCATCTGAGAGAAGAAATACAGAAATGGTGTCTTTAAAATATAAAGAAGTGGAAGAATGAGAGATGAAAAATGGGCGATTGCATCAAAAGAGCTGCTGTCTTTATTTACAATTGATGCATCGTGTATTTGGAATTATCTCTGGATGAACTTGTTGAAAATTTTCAGAAAACTTGCATAAAATTAAGATGCAAGATTTCAATTAGATTTTTAAGGATATTAAATTAATAGTCATGTTTGTCAAGTAGTTAAATTTGAAGCAGCAAAAACAAAATTAAGAGATCTCCTGCGCGCTAAAGTGTATGAGAGAATGGGAGAGAATAAACAAGAATAATGCAGTAAGAAGCTCATTCAACTTCACCGTCCATTAACCTTGAGGAAACTTCTTTAAATAGAATCATAAACAAATGAAAAATGGATTCAATCTGCACATTTAATGCTGTTGACTCGATTTTTTGCGTAGGTTGAATGCCTTAGTGCATTCAAATTTGTTTGTTTTATTGTTGATGCATACACTTTTTTTTACCTACATTGTGTCCTTCCCATAAAATTTTATTTACACGTTTATGTGACCTTTTATGACTACTGGTGAAATTGCTTGCTTTTATTGCTGTTTATGCTTAACTTCCGAGAAGAAAATTGATACTTTTTGTCTTGACGTTTTAAAAAGAAACCTTAGAAAATTGAATTATTACGACAGAGAGAGAGTATGGGTCCAATTTGTATGAAGGCAGACGAATGGATGATTGTTGTCACATTGAGACATGCACAAATAAACAAAATCTTATTCTTTCTGGATGGAAGGATAAAGTTTTTAAAATATCTTTTGTTTATTTTCATTTTAGGGCTATTCGAGCATTCCAGGAGCTACTCTATGTGTGTCCGGATTTTTTACGCGCTAATGAGGCTCATCTAAGACTTGGTTTTATGTTTAAAGTTGTTGGCGACTACGACAGAGCAATAAAACATTATCAAATCGCATTAATTGATCAACGAACAAATTGTAGTTTTTCACCTTTAGAAAGTAAGTCAATCCTGTTGCTGATTGTTATGTCCACTGGATCTAATTTTATTTCTTCATTTATTTACAGTAAAATTTCACATAGCACATTTGTATGAAGTGCAAAATAACTTTAAGAAGGCAAAAGAGGGCTACGAGCAGTTATTGGGCGATAAACAGTTAACACAACAATTAAAAGCGGATGTTTGTAGACAATTGGGATGGATGCTTCATTGTGTTGAGTCATTAGGAGAAAAACGACCACGTGAAACAATTGCCATTCATTGCTTACAAAAATCTATTGAATCGGACCCAAAATCAGGACAATCATTATATTTACTAGGACGTTGCTTTGCTGGTATCAGTAAAGTTCATGATGCATTTATAGCCTATCGCAATTCTGTTGAGAAGAGTGAAGGTAATGCAGACACTTGGTGCTCCATTGGAGTACTTTATCAGCAGCAAAATCAGCCTATGGATGCATTGCAGGCCTACATATGTGCCGTGCAATTAGATAAAAGCCATTCAGCAGCTTGGACAAATTTGGGAATCTTATATGAGTCTTGCGGACAACCTCGTGATGCTTTCGCATGTTATTTGAATGCAACGAAAGGAGATAACAATTTAAAGGAAATACAGAACATACAAATTACGACGAGTCCAAACTCGAAACCTCAAAGTTTAACGCAGAGAATTAAGTTTCTGCAGCAGAATTTGGCACACGCTCCTATGCCATCAATTACTTCTAAACGACGCCAGTTACCTTCAATAGAGGAGGCCTGGAACTTACCAATAAGTAACGAGATGAGTTCTCGACAGCAACAGAATCAAAAGGCTAAAGTAAGTCCAACTGATTTTTATGACAATAGACTTTTTTGCGATCAAATATTTTAGGTCTACAGCTTTAACGGTTTGAAAATCGTAGACTTTTTGTTTTTTGAATTGCACTCGAATGTCCAAGCGTTGACTTTTTGTAGGTTATTTGAATTTACAAAAACCGTTTTATTTAACTTTATTTGTGCTTTACAACCTTTCATAAAGTAGAGATTTTTAGAATTATAATTTTGATAATTTAAGTGCAATCAATTAGTTTTAACTCTTGAAAAAGGTAAGAATTCATTAAAGCTTAAAGCTATCTCTTCAGTAATAATATCAAATTGCTTTAAATTTAGTGCAATTTTTCATGAAAAATTCCATTTTCGGCGTTTTCACATTTTTTCTTGAGCACGTTTTTTTCAATTTAATTTTTTTTATCGCATTTTTTCATGAAAAACCTTAATCTTTTTAATAGTCTACGTAATATCAGTATAATTGGCAATTTAACTTATTCCGAATTTATTATTTGCAGCCTAATGCAGCACCACCACCATATCCTCAACAAGGTGGTGCTATTCCAGCAAAAAGATTCAAACATGGAGAGGAACAGCCACAACCAATTACAAGACCACCATTTTACCTTACACAACAGCAATTACAGATGCTTCAAGTAAGTATTTTATGGATGTAACTTAAAGTTTGCATAATTAACCTAAATTTGAACTGTCTTTATTTGTAGGTTCTACAGCAAACACCGAATCTTACTCCACAGCAACAAAATGTTTTACAGCAGTTGACACATCAATTTAAGTTGATGCAACAACATCAGCAGCAATTGAGATTACAACAAGCACAATTAAGAGCTGGAAATGCTAGAAGTCAACAGCCACAAACACCAAATCAGCCATTTCCACCACAAAATCAAACGACTTTCCCTCCACAACAGCCACAAGCGATTGGAAATCGAACTCCTCAGTCAGGAACTACTGCACAAACAGGGTTTATGAATGATGGGAGCTTCTCGCCTGCAACTGGACATTCACAACCTGGCATGCCATTTAAATCAGCTGGCGGATTTCAGCAACAACAAATTACATCCACGACAAACAGTCAGGATTTAAGTAAGTTGATTTTCTAATGTATATTATTGTAGAATATCCAGCATTCGTTAGTGACTGAATTTTTAAATTTCAATAGTTTATTCACTTCCATAATGTTGGGACAGTAAAGTCTTGTTACTTTGCTTGAAGTTTCAACACTGCTAATCTTGTGTTGAATCTGTAGAAAGTCTCAAACAATATCAATCCTTATTATTTGAGGATATTAATTATTATTAAAGAATGTAAAATAATGGCTTTATTTAAATATTCTAGGTGTAAGCGATCAGGAACTTCAGGCACTACTTTCTCAGCGCGATCTCACCACAACATTCGCTGAGAATATATTGAAGCAGATTGAAAATGAAGAGCCAATAGATTCAAAGACAAAATTACATGAGACACTTAATGTAGATGCTATGAACAATAATAATAATAATAATACTACAACTAATACCCCCAATATAACGGCTAATAGTCTACGAAGCATCAAATCACCAACGATAAAATGTGAGGCGACTTCAACGTCAACTCAAGCATTATTAAGTAAACATGAAATTAAATCTGAACCGGTTGTGAAAATTGAAAAATTAGTCGAGTTTGACAATAAGGTTGAATTCACAAATAAAATGTCAGCAAAAGAAATCTGTGAGGCAGTGAAGTAAGTATTGATTAAGCACTTGACATCACTTTTCAATATTTACATCAAATTTTCTCTCTCTTGCTATCATAGAAACATGGACAATAGTGACTGTCCCTCAATCTGCTCAGTTTTATCACCTGAATTACCACCACCCTCACCACCAGAAAATCCCGCAAAATATCGTATGACACGTGATCAATTACAGCCACCAACACCGTCAGTATTTTTAGAGAATAAGAAACATGCATTCAGTCCACAACTTCAAGAGTTTTGCTTAAAACATCCAATCGCTGTTGTTAGACAAATGGCATCAGCTTTAAAATTAGGTAAGTGAACTCTTATTATATATATATTCTATTCTATTCACTTAATTTTGTTGGCTTTATCATTCAATGTCAATATTATGTTGGAATACAAATTAAGACCAAGAAAATCCGGCTTTGCTTTAATTAAAATTTAAATATTGGCACACGATGGATTTACAATTATTCTCTCTGAATGATGAGTCATTTAAAGCTATCCTTTTTGTAACATTATTTTGAGTTTTATTACATGCATCTCTTGTTATCATCTCTAATAGATTTGGGATTATTCTCAACAAAGTCGCTGGTAGAAACAGCTCCTGAGCAATCGTGTGAGGTGAGGACGCAAATAAGTCAATCAGCAGATGAGAATTGGGATCCACAACACAAAGAGAAGGTTTGGCCATGTTCATCACATCGGTCTCATACAACAATAGCTAAATATGCAGCTTATCAAGCATCCACTTTCCAGGAAAGTTTAAAGGTTAATGTTAAATCGAATTTTATTAAGGATTGTCAGATTTAGCCATTTCCATATTATTTTTAAAAAATTATCAATGATGAAATAACCAAATTTTAACTTTCGTTCTACTGAAAATGACAATTATGTAGAGAAATTTTGCGTATCTGAGCCTTAAATCTTAGTTTTCGTGACTTTTCTAAACATTAAGACTTAAGATTTAATACTCTTATTTATCTTTACAGGAGGAACGTGATAAAAATTCAGGAATTAGTACAGTTCCGAATTCCGATTCAGATTCCAAAGATTCGTTCACGAGTGGCGCTAATGGAAAGAAGGCACGAAAAGTGAAAAGTGGCTTTAAAATGTTAAAGTAAGTTTAATAATTGACAAAAACGATCAGTATTTGATTATCAAATTAGTTTACGCACAGATTTGGAAATTTTTATAAGAACCATATAAATTGTAAATTCTGCAGTTTTTAATCTTTATTGTTGTATATTTTCAATTTAACAACATGATTAACGGGAATTGCTAGATAAATTAAGCTGAGTTTCGCTAACACCACTCGTCAATAAAACCATTGAGTGGAGTTTGATAGTAACTCACGCTACATTTCACTTCTTATTAAGATTTATAAGCAAATTGAATAATTTTCAAAATTAAATAATTAATTTATAAATTTCTTTCGTATTAGATTCGGAACAAATGTTGATTTATCTGACGAACGAAAGTGGCGCGCACAGTTGAATGAATTGCAAAAACTTCCTCCATTTGCTCGTGTTGCATCAGCTGCAAATATGCTCTCACATGTTGGCCATATGATACTTGGTATGAATACAGTACAGCTCTACATGAAGGTGCCAAATGCAAGAACTCCTGGACATCAGGAAAATAATAACTTTTGCTCAATTAATATTAATATTGGTCCTGGAGATTGCGAGTGGTTTGGTACAGCTGATGCTTATTGGGGTCAAATTCAGGCTTTGTGCGAGAAGCACAGCACAAATTATTTGCATGGAAGTTGGTGGCCATCTTTAGAAGATTTATATGCTGCAAATATTCCAGTTTATCGATTTACTCAACGTCCTGGCGATCTTGTATGGGTTAATGCTGGGTAAGTGACATGATTTGTGTTAAATATTTTTAATTTCCGTGATGTTTTAAACTTTTAACTTTCGTTCTTCTGAATGAATTCATTGAAAGATAATTTTTAAGTTACTGATTCCACCTTTTATGGACAAAATTTTGTGGCCATTAATTCAAAGATTTAATCAACTTTAATTTATTTCACAGATGCGTGCATTGGGTACAAGCAATTGGCTGGTGCAATAACATTGCATGGAATGTCGGTCCATTAACAGCTCGTCAATTTGAATTGGCTATTGTTCGCTATGAATGGAATAAATTTGAGAGCTATAAATCAATAGTTCCAATGATTCATCTAAGTTGGAATTTAGCCAGAAATATTAAAGTATCCGATCCAAAAATGTATGATTTAATAAAGTAAGTTGTTTTTGTCATAGCTTTATGAAGTATAAATGCTAATAATCAATTTTGCTTCTTTTTGTGCTTAGGAATTGTTTGTTACAAACTCTTCGCCATACTGTTCAGATCTTGGAGCATGTAAAACAAAAAGGAATTGAAGTTAAATTTCATGGACGTGCTAAGAATGAAGCGTCGCACTATTGTGGCGTTTGTGAGGTAAAAATACGAAATAAATAATAAATATTACAATAAATTATTAATTCTTTTAAATTCCTCAGGTCGAAGTATTCAACATTCTATTTATTCGAGAACAAGAGAAACGTCACGTCGTACATTGTATGGGCTGTGCCCGAAAACAATCTCCGTCATTACAAGGATTTGTCTGTCTCGAAGAGTATAAGTTAGCTGAATTAATGCAGGTTTATGATTCATTTGTTCTTCATAAGCCCCCACCGCAGCCAATGTTTCTTCCACCACCCCAACAATTACCAACATCTCAATCAATACCAGTTTCACCCGTTGTATCGTAAGTTTTTAATTATAATCTAGATTCTAAGAATGTAGAGAGAGAGAAAAATAAATATTAAAAAAATCTGTAAAACGTGAATGAGAAAAATTTTGATGAAAAGAGGACCACGAATGACATTTTTTAAAATCAAAATTTGAACTAAAATGAATTAATAGAAGGAAATTTGAATACCTCACGACGAATAAAAACAAAAAATGCAGCAGGAAAAAATAAACACAATTTAGATGAAAATTTCAAAAGTTATTATTAAATCATGCCAATCATGACATGTGTTCATTACATTTTCACACACAACTTCTGAGTTTCTTCCATCTTGGGTTTCTGAAAAACCGCGTTTTATAGAAACTGCAGTTTAATTGTTTTCATGCAAACCCATGAAAGTCCATAAAGAGAAAGTCTAAAATTGTGAAATATTGAAATAATAAACAAAAATTGTTTTCAGTTTTCGTATATTTTCACTAGATTTTGTATCAAATCTCAAAAACCGTGGTTTTTGCCTTCAAAACTGCAGTTTTGTAAAACCGGCAACCAGAAAGTCCATATTTCCATGCTTTTAAGTCCTCAATGTTTAAATGTTAAGCTATAGTCATCGATAAGTAGCAAAAAGCTAGCTGAATGCCGGATTGTTTGTGTAAGAGTTCATGCAAAACAATGTTGACTTAAAATTAATGAAATAAAAATGTTCATTGAGTTGTAAAAGACTCTGAAGAAGTTTTAAGTTTAACATGTTTTCAAATTAGTTGAAACGATAAGTTTGATCTGCAGAACTCACTGTTTTCATTTAGACCTCATTAATGTGGATTACAGAGACTATGGCTTATCACTAAGCTATTGGGTATAAAAACACAAAAAGTGATCATAGCTAAGCATCATTCATACTTGAATAATTCTTCTCAAGATCCTCTTTGCATGAACTCGTCCGCAAATATTTAAGCTGAACAACAGTTAACAAACAAAAAAGTTTATTTTATAATTTCGAAAAAAGAAAAATAGTTTCTAATTTATTCTACAATTTCAAATACAGTAAAAGGTACGAGATAATGACAAAAATAAGGCAAATGAATGCAATAGATTGAGAAATATTACAATTTTAGAATAAACTTTTTCTACCGCCAATAAATAATAATAAACATATGAATTAATAACTCAATAGCCTTTTTGAAAAGAAGAATATGAATTTTTGTACTGGGTGCCTCAAACACATAAAAAGCTCATTTCTACAATTCATACATAAATGAGAAATTTAATTGATAACAAAATAATAAACATTTTTGCAGTAAGAGGTTAAAACGAAGTTTTTATTACGAATAACAATTGCTATAAATTCAGTATAATAATATCTATTTCAAATCGATTCCTTAATATCGTCGATATTCGACGCAAATGAAAAACGTGAAAATCCTTTTACATAATAAATTATATTTCCTGAGTTGGCAAACTCGAATGACTTTTTTGCAATAATCCACCGTCCGTAAGTGATTCAAAAATTACTAAAATCACTTGCAAATGCCAACTTTGTAGACTAATTCCACCGGTAAATGGTTAGTCTCATTCGATTTTTTGTTTTTTAAAAAAGCGCTAGAATTCACACGATTTATAGCTATTTGTATAAATAACAATTATCTTTGGATCTCATTAATTGGTCTCCATTCATAAATTTTTATGCTCATTATTTTAAGCATAATCCAAGTTGTGTCTTGGAGACTGCGAGAATTGTACACAATTTAAAGTGCATAAGAAACCACACATAATACAATTACATAATAATTGACTTTGTAGATGTTTAAATTAGGCAATTGGCATTAAGAGATAAATTTGTTAATTGAATATGAGGAATTACACATGCATAAGATGTATAAATGTATTAATTTATTAATGTATGATGAAATTCTGTTTTATTTGCGACTCGCTTAACTCTTTTTCAAACCAACTATAGTGTGATTTTCAAACTCAAAATCATACTTTATTTAAAAAGTTAAATCTTGCGACGCAAATGAAAGATTATAAAAATTCACAATGGTGCTGACTACTTTAATTTCTTAGGTTTAGTCTAATAAGTTCTTTCATTTTATAATTAGGTGGGTTTCGTGGGATTAGGTAAGATCTACTCTTAACATGCTATACTTATTATAGTATATCAAGCTTAATACTCCTTATCGCTTGAAAAGACCTTAGTAAACCACCTACAAAATTTAATTTCGTGCGATTAAAATTTTTTGGAATGGAAAAAAAAATGTTTCAAAACCTTAAAAAAGCTTCATAAAATTCAAAAGTTTGACAAAATTCTCTTTTCACCCAAAAATCTTCTTCATTTTAAGAGGAAGCCTGAAATAAATCAAATAAAACGCGACGAATACCAAATTTTCTTTAAGTTAATTTATTTAAATAAGTGAATAATACTGAAAAAAAAAAGATTAAAATAAACAAATTAGGTGGATAAAGAAGAGCAGGGAATAATGGATGGATAATATTTTACAAAAAGTTGCTTTAGTGTTGATTAAATCTTAGCTTAAAGTCGGTATTGACAGAAAATTTTCGACACCAGGCTCCAAATGAGGCATTTGAGTACGGAAGACAATTTCTTTTGAGATATTCCTGAAATTTTTTGGCATATACATCGCATTCAATAAAGTCTCAAAGCAATGATTCAAACAACACTGAAATAGCTTAATAATTTAATTGAGATGTGTATAAGAATGAGGAAATACAATATTATTGGACAAGAAGTAAAGATTACGAGAATGGACAATAATTTGTCTATTGTACTTATTTGAAAAGAATATCAGATATATGCTTACGGCTGACATTTGTGTGTACTCATCAGAGATTGACATATGGTAGATCAGCAAACAAAAAACTAATCGTATTTTAAAAATTACTAATTGGCTTAAAAAATTTAATGTATAATGAATGATGAAATCTCTATTTCTGTCTCAATACTATTCCTATACTTGACTTATTAATTGAAGAGTATCATAAAAATTTACTAAAAAATTCGACAATTTAAAATTATGGAAATTGATTTGTAGGAAAATTGAATGCAAAAAAAGAAAATAACCAGTTTTTCACTGCCAAGATAAAAATTGTAAAAAAACACATGATGAAATTGTTTCGACTGACACCCTGAAAATTAAATTAAAAAACCAAAAATTCAGACGAGAGCATATATGTTGTAAAATGCATGGAATTGCTGTAGACGGAAAAGGGGTTGGAAGTTAAAAAAATTTCGAAATGTATTAATTAAGGAAAATTTGGTCAAAACTTAACTCTTTAATTTTAATGAACAAAATTGACATTGTAAATTTAGTGTACATTATGTTTGTCCATATTTAATTAAACATTTTTCCTCTCACTCTCATATTGCAATCAATTTGATGTGGCTTGATGCATAACTAGACGAAAAGATTTAATCAATTATTAGTTTAAATTTTTATAAATTTGTGTAAAGAGTTCATTTTTACTCTTCAGTCATGGGTGGGAAAACGTTGTGCTAGATTTTATGGTTTAATTAAGTTCCTTCTTGAGGAAGGTTCCAAAAAAAAACACTGAAAAATTTTCTTACTTTGATAAATCTCATTGTTGATATTGAAAATTTGAAGAGTCCTTAAATCATCAAAGCTGTAATATAGCTGTGACTAACTCTAATATCCTATCAAAATATTAAGCTCGACCCAACAATCTAGTCCAACATTTTCCCTCCGATATTTCGTAGAATTTATTAATTCAAACGACTAAAAATGAGAAATTACCGTGAAAAATGTGAATAAGATAAATTTAGTGTTATTATAAATTTTATTCGACATATAATTAATGTATTATTAAGTAGTAATGAAAGTCTAGGTTTCAAATTTATAATTTTTTAAAAAATATTGTTTTGTAAGTAAAATATAATGAGAATTTTTTTATTTTTTGTCGATAGTAATCAATCACAATCGTATTAATGATTTAAGGTAAACGAAATGAAATGATTAAGAAAAAATAATAAAATTATTCACTCTAATCAGAAAAAAATAAACAGAAAATATTTAAATTTACCTTTCTTGATGAATTTCATAAGTAAATCATTTATTGATTTTTATCAATTATTAATTTTGATAATTGTATAATCACTGGATTTCCATCATCAGCAATAAAGTAAAGTAAAAAAGTTAATTGAATTTTTTATTATTATTATTCCTATTTTTTTTTTGATTTATTGATAATTTACAGCTCGCTAGATGTTATAATGCTGATAAATCATCTCGAGGTTAATGCGATTCTAGTGGATGGAAGCATTTGCGAATACAATTCTACGAAACTTTAATCACGTTTTCTTCATCCTATAATCATTAAATATGCCAATCCATCTCTTGTCATTGTAATTAATGATTCATAGTTGTGGCATTAGGTATGAGAAAATTTTTCAATTTGTTCTGCTGGTAATTTTCAACCAATTCTTTAAATTTCACGAATAAACCAGCTTTTATCTTTATCGTTCAATCAAAGCCAAGATCTTTAAAAACTTAAACTCCAAATTAGAACTTTTGATGCGTTGATTATAGTGGTTGAACAGGAATGCGGGCATGATCTTAAAATTAAGATATATTTTGGAAACATCAGAAGAAACCTCAAAGATTAAAGTTAAGACACAACAACAGTCCCAGGGAGGATGAATAAAACTGTAGATTTCCATGACATTTTGTCCTAGATTGCATTCTTGCTTATCCTATAAAGTTAAATCAAAAGTCTGCATTTGTACGGAAGATAAGAATAAGCTCATAAACAAGTGATAAATTATGAAATCTAATAGTTAACGTCCACAAAACCAGCTCCGCATTTTAACAATCTATTAAAAATGTAGTAATTGAGTAACTACTTCCTATCTCAACATCGTCTCTAAATTTAGAAAAAAAAATCATCTTAAAAATCCATAAATAAACCAGTTCAATTTTCGTCAATATACTTTCGATTTGTTTGCAGATGATTCAGAAGCCAGTTAGATTGAACAACTTCTTATTCAAGGTAAAATAATTTAGAATGATTTAAAACTCCAATAAATTCAGAGTCTAGAATCAAATTTAAATATTTACGAAATCAATATTTATTACTGTGTCACGACCGACTATCTTACTTATTATACATAACGTCTTGCATTTTACATCCATTCATAGTTAACACACAAATCACATATTCTTTACTATGATGAATTTTTACTATTCTATTAAATATTCCGAATGACTCTGGCAGAAATAAAGTAAAGCTGATATGAAAAATTCATAAATTTAAAATGTAATTGCAAAAATCGACAGTTAGTATTGCTTTATTCTCATCACTCACTACAGCAGTAGAATAAATAAAACTTCTAGACTTAGTATCTAAGTGAATAGTTTAAATTATAAAATAAATGTCAGAGAATATCAATTATATCGAATTATTCTTGGTTAAGTGACATGGCTGTATGATTATAATGCTGAATACATATAATTTTCAACTAATCTTGCATCGTCATTGTTACTGCATATTTTAAGGCTTGAATTAATAATTCTTAACAATTTTAATTCAGAATCTTTTTGAAATTTTATTCTAGAAAAATGAATTCTTTGTTTTGTTTTAACATTTAAATTTATAAAGAGTTATTTCAGGAATGATTTGCAATAATTCTATATACTGAATAATGAGTTGTAGTTTTTATTCTGTCCTCTTGGGAGTTGTTCACTTATGACGACTGGAATTAACGGTCATTTTTCAAAAAAGAACAATGGATTTCTAGGAATTTCTATTGTTCTTTTCTTGCTGACCCCCCCCCCCCCCCCCCCACCCTGGACGTCATAAGTGAACGGCCCCTTGTCTTTATTGTTGATTTATTTATATTTATTTGTCAAAGTTAAAACACCGTATAGATTTTGAGCTCTGCTTGAAGATAATATCAAACCAGAAAGCTCATCTTTTTTGGTAATTTTAGAAATCTTAACCGAAATAACTCATCTAAGTCTGCAGGCGTCTGGCTTGATCCAAAATTCAATATTTTAATTGCATTTACAAGAAATCGAACCAATAAGTGTGAATTTTTGAATCATTAATACTTAAACCTTGGAGCTACTAGAAACTCTTATCTCACTTTCATCATCTCTCATTACCACACAAAACACGCATTCGTTTCTCAAAATCGATATGATTTAGATGAAATATCAAATTAACAGTATTAATAGATGTTAAAATTCGATAGACTGTTAATTAAATATTCAAAATTGTGCAAATTTGGCATTTTAAGATAAAAAGTTATCTCGCCCGAGTAAATTTAATTCTACCTTCTGCTGCTCGAAATTCAATTAAAGCACCGAAAGATAAACATTTCATTTCGTCTTAATTCTGATCGCAAAAAGGATGAAAAGAATTTTTACTGAAGAATTCGAAAAGTAAATTTGCATAGCTTCTTGATTTAACTTTTGTCTGGAATCTTTTAAAAAAATCTTAAGTAAACTTAAGACAGGTTGTCAAAAAATTAAAGGCATAATGAATTGGTATCTTAATGGTACAGACACGCTTTATTTTTTCATATAAAAACTTTTTTCAAAAAAAACTCATTGTCTTCATTTGAGGAATATTATTCACATAAAGATGAGTTCTTTTAAATCTTTTAAGGGGATTAGCTTTGAAAAATATGAAATTAGTTGTTGGAGTCTCAACAAAGAACTAGACCGAACAATCATGTATCCCTCAAAATTCTCATCAATTTTCAATATCAAAAGTGATTAAAAAGCTTTAAATTAATACAATATTTTCGTGGTATCCAAAATATGGCTTAATTGTACCAAACATAGCAGGTACTTGGTATAGAAATGTCCTAAAATTTGTTCAATTATATTCTTCCTCCTTATAAGTTTAATAAATACGGAAAATGGCTCTCATAAATCCTCGTGTTGTGTCTAGAATCTGATCAACAGACCTTCGAATCAATCCACCGCGGGGCACAAAGAAGTTGTCAATAAAATTTGGCTGTAAATAAGATAAATTACTAGACATAATTGAAATCATTAACAACTAGTTGAAAAGAACTTACGTCAATTTGTGAGACTGGCTGTGAAGGAACATTATTGTTTATATTCTGTGCCTGTGGCGTTCCAAATGTTGGTGCTATAAACGATGGTTGGAAATTAGCAAATGTTGGCACTTGCTGTACAGGATTGGATGAAATAGAAGTAATTTGAACTTGAACAGAGGGTGCAGGAGGGCTCTGCAGAGGGATTTGAGCTGTTGGGAAAGTCTGAAAAGCTCCATCGGTTGAAACTGAGGTGAAAGCATTGATTCCTGAACTTGGTACATTATTTCCTGTTGATTGTTGGATGGGACGAAAGGAACTAGTCGTTGGATCAGTTATAATTACTCTCGGAAGATCAGTTGATGTAGTACTTGGAATTGTTTGGATTATTGGTTGTTGGGGAAGTGCTTGTTGATTTATGAATTGAGGAATTGGCTGTGCCTGCGGTAAATTAACAAATTGAGGAACCTGCTGATTTTGTGGTGCAAATTGCTGATTATCCGGTGTTCCAAATCGTTGTACTGGTGGTGCAAATTGTTGAATAGCTGGCGGTTGTAGCTGTTTACTTAAATTTGGTATTGGGAGCTGCTCTACTTTCCTCTCAATCGGTATCACACCGAGTGTTGAACTGCCAATTGACCTTGCGGTCGTCGTTCTTGGTTCATTTGTGAATAATGTTTGAGGCGGTAAAATCGAACGTTGTGTTGTTGGAATCACAGGAAGTACAATTGGCCTTTCTGTTGTTAATATTTTTAATCTAGATGTCGTCGGAAGTGTTCGAAGAGTTTGGCGTGTGGTTGTTGTTTGTGGTGGTAAAGTTATACGTTTTGTAGTCTTTGTAATCCAAGTTGATGGAATTCTTGATTGTTGTGGCACTTCATTGGTTGAAAATTGAGAACTTGGCTTATCTAAGTGCGACTGCTCATGCCATTCTTCAAAATTTCTAGTGTATTCACCGGTCGGATCATATCGTTCGGCAAGTGAAAGGTAAATTGAAGGATGCTGGTAATATAGTCTTGATATCACATCGAGGGCTTTTGCCTTTTGAATTTTTGTACATCGAGAACATTTAGATTTTAATGCTTGCGGCAGAATACCTGTATGAATAATTTTTATTCTAGAGAATTTTACTATGCCAATTTAAATTGCTAATGAAGGAAAGCTGAAGTAATTGGTTTACTTCCGAGGACAAAAAGTTATTAATTTTCTTCAATAAAAATTAATCTTTTATGGTCAAATTTCTTACGGTAGTTGCACTACATGTATAGCTGCTTACATTTTTAACACGATGTTTTTTTTTTGCAAAATAAACATTGTCTGTTGATTTATCTATCGAATGTCATATTTGACTCGATATTTAAGTATTATAGATAATTTTTGAAATTTTTCGGTGTGAAATATTCAAGATCTTTATAAAATACTGATTAAATTTTGTGCTTCTCACTCAGTCAAAGCAATTTTTATTGCATTTAATATCAATTTTAAGCATTGAAAAATCTTAATTTAATTTTTGTTATCTTGAAGTTTTAAACTTGGGTCTTCATTAAAGCAATTTAAACTCTAATCATAATTATAAAAGTGCCTAAATCATTAATCACGTAATAATGCATAATGAGGAACTAAAGCTCATAATTCATTAAAAATTGACACTACTTATAAATATTCATGATTATCATATATTAACTATGCCATTGTGGTGATAAAATGTTGCAACCGATGCTTCTTCTTTCTTTTTTGTTTATCTTTGCTGTGCATTGGCCTAGATTGTCAACAAGACTCTCATGCAACTCTTACTAGTATTGTCATTTTTTATGATTGACAATAAAAAAAATGTTTAGCTGCAATTTGTGAATATCTTTTTCGTGACTGACTCTTTAAAATGCAAGGCTGCCTTTTGTGCCAATTTGCAAATTATCAGCTAGTTTTGGACATTTTTATGGGATTTTTTTCAATGATTTTCTTCTTCAAGACATTTTTGGATAGAAGGTTTTGTTTGCCATAAATTCAAATCATTTTGCACGATACTGCAATCCTTTATATATTTTATCATATCACGAAATTTCTTCAAACAATTACAAAAAAGGTTATGATCCATAATGTTAAAAACTAATTGAACTTACGCTTCAGCTCTTTTCCTTCTGGTGGGCATGGCTTTTTATCTAATAAACAGTCCACATAGTTATTTAATAATCTTGAGGACCTAAAGATTGTTTCCACATCAAGATTATCGTATCGTTTACTATAAACATTTTTCTCATCGTCCTGTGCGAAAATCACAGCTGACTGAATCAATGAAATGGCAACAATAATAAGGCAGAAAATTGTCGACGACATATTTTGATTCTTGTGCTTATCACAAATTTGGTTAAAAAATTGTTCACATCACTTTTGAGATTCTTTTTGTTCCTAATTTTTTGGTCGATTTTCAAATTTAAATGTCAAGCAATTCCGGCATTTAACTTTATAATTTTTTCTATTCACTCATTTATTTTCTTTGAGTCCAAACTAATTTTAATAACTGAAGCAATATTGCACTTTGTCAAGTGACAATTAAATCTTCACAGTCAATTAGATTTTTCAAAACCAAATCAAATGCTAAATAATCAAAAATAAAATCAAAGATGATCAAATGCTGCGTCTAAATTACACAAGTTCACTTCTCCGACTGAGCATTTTATTCACAGATAAAAAAAACTAAATTCTCACGAGTTAAAGTAAACAGAGTAAATGGAAATAAGTTAGAGCATTGAGAGCACCAAAAAAGGTAAACATAGAGGCATTGGAAGCAATAACAAGACATTCCAGTGCTCACAAAGAAAATTTTCTCGTCGCTGCATGTTTATATGCTTTCGGTCTTATGGTTCGAAGAAATGTAAACTCTTCAACGCAGTTCATCACTGCAAAAATTACCGTTCTTTCTATATCAGCTGGATGTTGGTGTCGTTTATGATAGTTTAAAATTAGAAATGTGCAAATTGACATTCCAAACAAACACCATTTCCCACTTTATCGTTTCGTCTACAAATTTTCATTCGCGAATTTCTCCTCTCGACTCCAACTCATCTGTCAGTGAGGCGCCAAAAAATTAGAAATTGTAAAAATGATTTTTGTTGATATTTTGAGGCTATTGAACTGACCTACACAACATTCACATTCAAGAATCTTTTTCTTCTTTATTTCCATTTCTCACCTCCACACCTCCAACTCGAATCTGTTTTTGAGCTCTTTCCAATGCACTTTTTGGGGTCATTTGACATCTGCAAATAAAGAGTGAAAGTCCAAACAAGAGCAAAATTGGAGTGACCATGATAAGAGCAAGATCAGTGACAAAATTATAAAATGCTGTGGGCTGAATTGGAAGGATAAATTGCAACTTACGGTTGTTGAAATCCAAAACTTCTGTGTTATGTTAAAAGTTTCTTAAAAAGATGTCAAACAAGTGTTACCTTGAGTCTCTTTAAAGTATTCTCACGTTCTTACTTAATAAAAGTCCATTAATGCACTTTCAAAAAATTTACATAAATTTTAGATAAACATTTGCAAGGAGAAAACTTCATGAATTGCTTTTTTTGAATTCGTTTACAAAAAGGAAAGTATTTTTTGCACATTTATAAGCAGAATAAGATCTATAAGGAGATTGATGAGTTAGAGATATAGGATATGAAAGTCAATTCATTGGTTTTATATCAAATATATTTAATAAAATATTGCAATTTAATCCACATTAATTCCAGTATGAAGAACAGTGTCAACCTTGCACTTTAAATAAAAGTCTCATGTTTCGACCAGGACAGAAAATGTCCCGAATTTATGGTCAAACAAAAGACAGCATACCGTTATTAAGTTGTTGCGCTCCAACAATAAAATATTAAGGGTGTGTGAAAACAACTTGTTAACATCTGATCCAGGAAATATCACAATATTTCAAACTGTCTTTTGTTGTCCACATTTGGAAAAGGAGAAAATATGAAAGTTTTAAGGATGATTTATAACTGGATATTTTTATTAAATTAAGCACTTTAAAAATTTCTTTTTTGGATATTGGACGTGCATTCATGGAAGAAATAAGGAAAAAATGTGTTAATTGGATTTTACAAATAAACTGTGCTGAAATTTGAGGATTTTCGAGATAATTTGCGATTTTGAAAGGATGTTTATTGTAGACGAGCTAGGTGGTGTTATCCGCATAGCATTAGAAAGAGTAAATTTAAATTTATTTGGCACTTTTGATATTTCAAGGATATTCATTGTTCATCAGACTTTGATTCCATTAAAAATCTTATATTTGCGACAAAAAAAATAATTTCAATTACGATCAACAATTTAATCCGTTGCTACATTCTTCTAATTGTCTTTTACATTAGTTCTAATTGACGTATTCTTTAAATAACGTCAAATAATACAACGTAAGCAGTAATAACAATATTTGAGTCTTAATAATGAAAAATTGATTACAAATAATGACATGAATTTAAGATTATAATTTTTTAAACGAGACCATAACTAATGATTGCAATTTTAAGGACAAAAGATAAAGAAGTGCTTTAAAAATATTGAATTTAGACTTACGATTTGTCTAAGTTCTTGTTCTCAACCGCCAGTATCAATAATCGAGCTTTATCATAATCTATCATTTTTTGTACAACGTTTTGCATCTAAAAATACTCTGCAAATATTTTGAAACTCAAATACGTGTGAATCAAGGTGAGCTACAATTTATAATCTCTTGTTTTTCTAAATTGCATACTGAAGATTGATGACTTAAGAACATCACTAGTGCGACATAACAATTGAATAATTATCCTTGAAGATTTAAGTTTATTTTGTCGAGGATAGGAAAAAAATGAAGATTTTAATCGGATTTTTGTAGATGATGCTTTGTTTTGTGTTTTGAAAATTAAGCTGTTTAGATATAACAATTTTTCTCATCAGTTTTGATAACTATTCAATAAAGAATCAAAATTGTACAATCTACACGCGAATCCATTAATAAAATAGAATGATTAAATGAAGGACTTTTGATGCTTCGAGAATTCGCAAAGCACAAGATTCGTTTTTAATTTTTTTAGACTTTAGAAACCCACCTGTGTTCTGAGTAAGCACGTAATTAATATTGTTAAGTATTTTAATTCAATTTTTATGCTTTTAAGGAATACGATAATGATTCTTATTTTTTAGACTTAGGATTTGTGTGAAACAATCAAACTTATTTTTTTGAATTTAGAGCTTTTTAATAGCTTCAAAGTACGATATTCTCATGTGGATTAAAATATTATCTTAATCTTTAATAAGAGTTTAATAAAAAAAATTGATTAATCGTCATATTTTCAATTGAGCTTAATGAATTTTGCAGTTTAAAGTCGTGTGAACTTCCTTTTTTTTTGTCCAGAATTTAATTTAAATTTAAATTGGATTTTCAACTATTTTGAAACAGAATGATTTTGAATCATCAAAATTGTTTAGAAAACTTATGGTTTTAAGCCTGTATCATCCTTGATATTTACTTAAATACCGTAAATCTTAGATGCAAGAGCCATAATTTCACATCCCATTTAAGAAAGGAAATGGTCCAATTTTGATAAAGTTTCAAGCTCACTGATTTAAATGCTAACAACCATAATCAAGGCTTAAGCCAACAAGTTCATATTGCATAACTTTAAATGTCTTTTTGCTCATAATAGTAATTCAAAATTTTTTAACCTTTGCAGATCAAATTTTATTTTCGCATCATATCTTTTTATTGCTTTTTTAACTCTCAAATGTGCCAATAAATTAAATTTTTTTCGAAAGTATTGACGCACGTGACCATATCTACATTTTATGGCAAATCTTCACAACAATGAGACAATTTCGTGAATTAAATTGTATGTGGATGTGAAAACCTTGTTTTTCATGTTTTGTTCCTTTTATGATGCTTTTTATTAAGGGAGCATAAATTCTTGGAAGAAAATTATTTGGAACGGATTTTGATGGAAAATATTTTTTTTGGAAGTGATGCTGCTAGATTTATCGCAATGTTTACGATCTCCTAAAACTTATGATCTAAAAACTCTGCTCAAATTTATTTACACAAAAGACAAATTAATTTAAAAAAAAATTCATTGTCGTGTGCGCATAAAAATCTTAAACATTTGAGGTTACTGGCAAATTATGCTAAGCTGACAGAAGTCTGAGAATTCATGATCAGTGAAGAATTAGATGCTTCTGTAGCTTCACAAGATTTTACATCAAAATCTCATAAAAATGTAACAATTATTAACAATAAAATTATTTTTGTAACTTAATTATGAGCACTTCATTAAAATTCATGAGCTGATGTTTGTTTTGTTAAATCCATTGTAAATTTTTTGATGTTTTTATTAACACAGGAATGTTACACTATTTAAATTTACATTTTTCGTGAATCTAGTAATGACGCTTTAAGAATATTCTTTAGATTATAAAAGTCTTTATTGAGTTTAAAATATAGAATTGGCCTTCAACTATTTTTTTTAAAGATTGTAAAAAGTTTGTATTTATTTGATGTTTTGGAGAAAGACTAAGTATTTTCTAGCTCACTATTTTTCAGATAAATCTAGACGCTTAAAAAAATCCACAATATTCAAAGATCGACTCCTAAGGACATTCTAGAAAATTCACAAGAAAAAAAAATCATCGCCACATTTAGTCACAAAAAGCAACCAAAAATTGCCAAATTTAAAGATCACTGAACTCAATTCATTCAAATGTTTAATTCAGCTATGTTTTTATAGTCCATTCATGACTCAAACATTGGCACTGAAAGAGAAATTTATATTCTTATATGGAAAACGCAAAGATCATAAAAAACATCCTCAAAAAGCATGTGCAAGGTTGTTTTTAAATTATTCAAATTTGTGATATTTACATGTGTGGCACCTAACTGATTTGTTTGTACAATTTAACAAGGCAAAAAAATTGTGTTGTTTATTTAAAATGAGAATGCATTGTCCAGGTGTAAGGTTGAGATTAAGCTGCTTCTTTTTAGCATGTTTATTAATAAATTTAAGGTTAAATTAACTCTTTTCCGCTTAATTAAGACGTCAGTCTTAGCTCTTTACCAGAAGACGCGTTAAACAAAAAATTTTAAATAACGTAGTCTAAATATTTGATTAGTGTTAATTTTATCATCTTTTGAGCTATTTCATGAGGAATTTTTTAGAGATGTTGCCTGATCAATTTCAATATACTTACTTACTTACAACCTACAATCTGACTCACATCAGAATCTCTACCGGGCTCGTTTACAATAGAAAAACTTATTTAATCAACATAACAAAGCTTATGTTCAGTAAAACACAAATGACTTCCAAAATCAATATGTCGAATAATAATCAATTGAACTGATTCATTCATTTCCTTAAATATTTGATTGAATAAAATTTGCATTTTAAAATTTATCATGAAATCTTTTTGCCATACATGTGACTCAATCAATTATTTTAAATCTGCATTCGGCTAGCAATACTGAATTGAACATGGCATTACAATCGCCTCTCAATTATATGCATACGTTAGATTTGAAAAAGCTTCAGACACGTCTTCCTACTTGCCGTGAACTTCCTGATCCCACAATTTTATTAATAAGCGAATATCGTGAATGAAATCTTATTTAATTTGAAGTCATGTGCGAATGAATGAGTTAAAAAAATTGGCGTTGATGGTTGATTGAGGTGCATTTGTTCTGTTTTGCTTTATCCATGTCTAAAATGGATAAAAAGCTTATCTTAAAGATTCAAATTTGCGTTATGAATTGTGTTGGCATTGTGCTTGACACAAGTCTCGTAAATAAAATTGAATTTCGTACTGGAAATGCGCGTGCAGATTTTTAAAATGTCAGATTTTTTTTCGATGTCTGAAATCGCATGCTGAATGTTTTAGGTGTTGTGGGATTTTAAGACAGCCTTCTTCAGTTTGACACAAAAGTTTCAATGCTGTAGATTTTTATATGGGTCCCCCTCCAGTTAAGGGGGACATGATTTGTGAACAACTCCTTACAAACGGTTTCTTTATCTGTATAAAAAAGACATAAAGGAAGATTTCAGATTCAAACAGTTTTTTTTCGCCTTTAAATTTATTTTGAGTCAGAGAAAAAGTTGAATTCAAAAATTTTTAACATTCATAAATTATCTCACAAGTTGTAGTTTTCTCTTTTTCGCGGATATTTTTAAACTTCATTTGCTGTGTCATATGCGAAATTCAATATTCAGGAATTCGATAAATAAAATGATAAATATTCATGGTTTAAATGATGGCTTTAACAATAAACGTTATTTTATGGACATCCGCTGAAGCGTTAAATCATTTTTTTAAGATTCACTCAAGTAGCTCTTCATGTTTGACAGGTTGTGATGAGATCCACAATACAGTAAAAGTTGGTTACTAAAATAGATGTCATAAGATACAAACTTATCCTTCCAATTCAGCCCACAGCATTTTATAATTTTGTCACTGATCTTGCTCTTATCATGGTCACTCCAATTTTGCTCTTGTTTGGACTTTCACTCTTTATTTGCAGATGTCAAATGACCCCAAAAAGTGCATTGGAAAGAGCTCAAAAACAGATTCGAGTTGGAGGTGTGGAGGTGAGAAATGGAAATAAAGAAGAAAAAGATTCTTGAATGTGAATGTTGTGTAGGTCAGTTCAATAGCCTCAAAATATCAACAAAAATCATTTTTACAATTTCTAATTTTTTGGCGCCTCACTGACAGATGAGTTGGAGTCGAGAGGAGAAATTCGCGAATGAAATGGTGTTTGTTTGGAATGTCAATTTGCACATTTCTAATTTTAAACTATCATAAACGACACCAACATCCAGCTGATAAACAAACAACGGTAATTTTTGCAGTGATGAACTGCGTTGAAGAGTTTACATTTCTTCGAACCATAAGACCGAAAGCATATAAACATGCAGCGACAAAATTTTTCTTTGTGAGCACTGGAATGTCTTGTTATTGCTTCCAATTCCTATATGTTTACAAATTTTGTTGCTCTCAATGTTTTGTCTCACTTCGACTACGTTTCACTCAAGCTTCGCTTCGTCAAACTATGCTCGTGAGTTTACTGTGAATAAAATACTCAGTTGGAGATGTGAATTCGAAACTGAAGGTTGCAAATCTTGTTGCACTTCGATTTTTTCCATAAAATTATTTTAAACTTCTTTCACTTGAAAAACATATTGTGCGAATTTTTTTTTTTGGATTATAAAAGTGAATGCAGTCGCTGCATATGTGAATGGAACAAAACGTTTACATAAAGCATTACATTAAAAAGTTTAAGTAATACACGATAAGTTCAACTTAAAGTTGTTGAATAAAATTCAAAAAACTTGAATGCATGCATAGAAAAGAAAGAAAACAAGCTTAATGACATGCGACATAAATTTGCGCAATAGAAAAAAAAGTTTGTCTTGACTGCAAATGAAAGTGAAAATATAAAAATAATTAAAAATCAAAGACCGACAAAAAAAAGAAGCAACAAAAAGAATCTCAAAAGTGATGTGAAAAAATTTTTATTTAATTTGTGATAAGCACAAGAAATCAAGAAAATCAAGTCATGTCGTGGACAATTTTCAGTCTTATTGTTTTTGTTATTTCGATAATTCAAGTTACTCAAATATTTGCACAGGACGATGAGAAAAATCTTTATAGCAAGCGATACGATTCTATTGATGTGGAAACAATCTTTAGGTCCACAAGATTATTAAATAATTATGTGGACTGTTTATTAGATAAAAAGCCATGTCCACCGGAGGGTAAAGATTTGAAACGTAAGTGAACTTTTGCATTAAGCACAAAAAAGAACTTGAAATAAATGAAATTGTAAACTGACTAGAAGGCCATAACTGATGGCTTAAAAGGCGAATGATTCAATCGTATGACTAAGTTGAAGAGTATGGAAGTGAAGAAGTTTTTTTTGCAAAAATTTTGTCCTCAAGGGGGTGATGTGTGTCGTGATATTAATTCTAATCAAAATTTATAAATAAATTCGAAATGAAATAAAAAATCAAAATTTCTGGAATTTTTTTGAAATTTTGGTTCTTCAAGATTTTTTAAAAATTCATATTTTTATTCATACCATCATTTCCCCCCTAATAAGCACGAATCCATACCTAAATGTATCTTTATTGTCAAGCATGCACAACAAGCAACGACGAAGTTTTTGTAGAAAGAGTTGCATGAGAGTCTTGCAAGAAATCTAGGCCAATGAACAACCAAAAAAGTAAATAATCATATGGTTATGGTTATGTCGATGCGGCTCTTTATCGTAGTGAGAAAAACTTGATTACCAAATGAATGAATAACATCTAATTCTTTTATTGCATAAAATTTAATTTAAAGAGTTTTGGAAAAGTTTTCTATTCAAATCGCTTGCCTGCATTATTTTATTATTCTATTAACATGTTTCCTTTCGAATGTAAATTGCTTGATTTATGATGCAATTATTCGCATTTGAGTTTCTCTCACTAAGCGAATTTATATTTATTTGCATAAACAATCTATGTAAAGGTCAATTTGAAACGAGACGTTTTCAACTTTTGCTTTAAATTAATGAACAGTCAATAATTAAATCTTCAAATTTTAAGGAAAAATATCTTTTCGTGATGCTTTTGCAGAAAGTTCACTAAACCTGTTTTGAGGCCAATGCTTTAAATTATCTGAGGATTATCTGAGTGCGCTGAGAAAACCTTTTTTAAGGTTCATTTGAAAAATTATAAGGGATTGATATCTTAATTTAAAACGTGTAAAGAGACTATTAATTTTTTGATCTTGTAAAGTTGTGTTGTTCTCTAACAAGACATGAGTTTAGTGTCACATTTTAATTACTAGTCGGATTCTTGATAGCTATGTGATACTTAATCAGAATGGGGAGATTTTTTTAAAACTGAACCAACTGTTCACTGATGTGCTTGGTTCTAATGGTTTAAATAGATTAAACCACTTTGCCGTAGAAGTTCAGGTCGAGACATGCACAGTACCGATTTTTAGGATTGAAATATACTGTAGACTAGGCTTTGTACTTTTAAGTCATAATAGTTCATGCTTAAATACAGTAAGGATTAATAAGAGAATTTCACAGCTTTCGCGCTTAATCTCAAATAAACAGCAAATCCTTCTAGAACAAAACAAATATTTACACTTGCTCTTGACACTTACTTGCCCTATTATTAATGATATACAAAACATACCCACACTAAAGACTGCGATACTACGCTTAAAAAAATATAATAGTCGATTATTTGTATTGTGAAAAGTTATTTATAAAATATACTGAATCCAATCAAGGTCGCAAATAGAACATGTTCGTGGCATTTTTAAACCTTTTAACAAGCTTGTTGTTGCACTTTTTCCCAGTTTCTGTGTCGATTTTTTCATAGGTTAAACACAATCGGAAGTGAATGTTGTGTATTTCTTTTAAATCTCATTAAGAGCAATTTTCGTTAAGTATTGAGGCGATAATGGTGCCTGATGTTTATGGTCAAATGATTAATAAATGCTTGACTTGATTCTATTGTATTTACATATAATCTTTTATGACAATTTTGTTGCCATTAACGCATAAAAATCTAGTTATTAATTTTATTGCCATTTGTGCACATGCTGTTCATACTCAACATTGCAAGATAACTTCATTAATTGTGAAAAATAATGATTCAATTCATTAATGCACACACTTTACTCGTGTATCCACTCACATGCGTCAGCGTGATGAATAAAACGTCCATAAATGAAATTTTATTTGATGTTTATGCAAAAAATGAAGGTGTTCCGGAAGTAATGCAATCCTAGAATTTTGAATTCAGATTGAGATTATTGTTTGTCTATTAAATTTACGGCTATTCGAAAATTTTGTGTAAAATGGTTTGCATATATTCTTGGAGATTAGCAAGACCTGTGTTCCAATAGTATACAAAACGCATTAGAACAAAAAATTGGCAATACAAATAAATACCGATTGACTTTTTGATCATTTTTGGAGATATTATTTCAGCAGTTCTAACATTTTGGTTTTGATAATTCGCACATTTTTGGAGATTTCTATTTTTGCACAGTTTTTCTATAATAAGCAGATAAATCAGATTATTGAAGCTCACATCTTTAGTAGTTCATGATAATAAACTAAAGCAGCGGCAGATATCTGTATTCATGTGGACCATTTTGAAGGAACACCAGAAACTGTCCAATTACAATGTAATCTCAACAATATTACAAGAATAATATTAAAATACATGATTTTATCCCAAGTCTTAAATCTTAATTGACCTGTATTAAGCTAAGAAATTGATGACTATTACTGCCTCTGTCTTATGCAATATATTATCATATTTTATAATTAATTACAACTATATTGCATTACCTGTAGATCAACTTTCATACCTAATGTAATATTTTACAGCTGCTTACAGAATATGTTCTTTTTATGGCAGGTTCTTTTATTTTCCTATTTATTAATGTCTTCCTATATAAGCAACTGTAAAATTCCAATGATATTCAACAATATTCTATGATACATGCCTTTACACAAGCTATATTTTAATAAATTCTATATTTTATTCTTTCCTGATAATTTATAATCCACGGATTTTATATTAATGATAATAATAATGATGTTGATGTCCCACTGATCTACTATTAACCCACTGCATTCAGAAGTTCTGCAGAATATATTATACATTGTATGGCTTATTTATGATTGCTGCTCCAAAGAAAGTTCAAAATTGATTCAAACTTTATCGTCAAAAAATTTGTCGACCACAATTTAAAATTGTGCAAATTTTTGCCGTGACTTTAACCAAATCATTTATTCAAATTGTTTCCATTTGCTTATTCACAACATAAAAATAAGATTTAGGATAGCCGATCTTAAATGTCAATATTTCATAAATTGACTTAATTCATGAATTTTGTGTTAAAGTTTCGACATCCGTTGAACTTTCAAAAATCTAAAATGTCTAAAATCTTCAAAGCATGCACACCTTAATTTTAAAGGCTGAACACTCGAAATCTCAATTTAAATAATTAATTTTGATGTTTCAACTTGTAAATATTTACTGTTTATGGCATAAGTTGTATACAAAGCTACTTCAACAACTTGTATCAATTAAATATAGTCAATATCTACTTGTTGTGAAGTAAAACAAGTGTGAAACTTTCCGATTGAAAAACAGGTGAAATTAATTAAATGAAAACCTGAAATATTGCATGCGAAATCACAAATCTAAACACGATTAAACTGCGTGGAATATTGCATTAATCATTTAGGAGATTAGACAGCAGCAAATTAGCTGAAAGATCCCGCCAAACTGACTTACAAATGACATTATAGTTTTCGCGAATTGCGCAGGAAATAAATTAATTAAAGTAATTGTTATTTAAAGAAAATTGAATACGTGAACAACACACGAACAGATTAAATGCTTAAATACTATGTAGATGAATAGCTGAAATTCTTATAAAAAGCTTGTCATTTCTTGAATGACTGTAATTCATTACAAAAAAAATTCTCACTGAATGATTTGAGATTCTAATATTCCTTCCTCATAGCTCATTCATTCAATCGCGTTTTTGATACTATCATCAAATTTGCAATGCTGGTTATTAATGACTAGATTAAAAAGGGAAAAAAGTATAGATGTGGAATTTTTGTTTGAATTTCATCTTCAACTTAAAAGTTGATTAGCAGGAAACTGCATTAGTAAATGAATTTTCATGGACTTAAGCTTGTAATATTGGCTCTTCTATCTTGTCTGGCTTTGATCACGTTTTTTAATAAGAAGCAACTTAAATTTTGAATGTGATTTTTATGACATGCTACAAAGTTTCTAACTGTTCTACGATTACTTTCAACAATTAATTGCAAAACTTCTTTCTATCAGCTTTTACCTCTAACCTACCTTTACTTTTAGCAACTCACCAATAAATCATGCAAACTCATTTAAATAGCGTGTCTTTATGCTTCAAAAAAAATTAAACTTTTTGCTGCCTATTGTTCGTTTTTTTGCAAAAGAAGTTATCAATTTTTTTCTAGCCTTTTTGTGTCAAACGTGAGGTTCAAAGCTATCTGTCAGATTAGTTTATAATGATACCATCCATCATTCTTCAAAATTTTCCACTTGAATGAGCTCGCTTGTATGACAGTCCACAATATTTCATTCACTTATTTACAAAGAAGATTGAAACTTTAAAAATGAAATAAGAATGCTAATTAGTATAAGTTTCTACTTATTTTTATATTAATTAGACTGAATTCCAAAGTAAACATTTGGTGAAAAAATTGAGCTTTCTGCTTTGTGCATTTTGTCAGGCTTTGATTTGATTGTGACGCTATTGTTGAATTATTTAATGACTTCTTACCAAAGCTGCGATCTGTCTCAGGTAATCACCTGTCACTTACCTGTTAACAGTGCCTTACAGACAATATCTGTGATAGATATGTCACTTGTGCCTGTGACAGGAGACCTGTATCGCAACTTTGCATGAGCTACTCTACCAAGTCACATGTCCAATTAATATAGACATAACTTTCAAATACCAATATTTTAAAAGTTTTAATTTAATCCACAGGTGTTTTACCGCATGCATTGCGTACGAAATGTGCTCGTTGTACAAAACTACAGAAGGCGAAAGCACTTGATGTAATTACGAGACTCTACTATCAACATCCACAAGTTTATCTTTCACTTGCTGAGCGTTATGATCCGAACGGAGCATATACAAAAAATTTTGAGAACTGGTTTGATGAGCAGAACAGTGTTAAGCCTCGACCACCTATTCCAGATTTTGGAAACATTCCATGTATGATTTAAATCAATTATGTGTGAAATTCAAAGAATGTGAGAATGTAAAGAATAAGATTAAAAATTCTAATCACGTTTTAATTTTCACAGTGTCCGACACTCCATCATCAGAAGGTCAAGGTCCTAATCGACGTAGTCCAAGCATTGGCGCTGAATCAAGCACAAGTATTAATAATTTAGATTTTACTCAACGATCGCGAATCCCATCATCGTGGATTACAATGACGACTACAACAACCGAAAAATCAACTACATCTAGAGCACCTTTAAGAACGACGCATGGATCGAGGACAACAGTGAAAGTACTCGATAAACCATCAACAATTAGAGCGCCTCCACCACCTTCAACAGTTAATAACGTGAGATACAGTTATACATACAAAATTTTGCAGTTGCTGACCTGAAAATTCTTTACATTTTTTCACTTTTTTTTATAGCCGAACTTTTTCTTCTTTCCTCGTCCCGATGGTCCGATTACACATTCTATTAACAAGCTTTTAGACACGACAGATAAACTTGCTGTTAATTTTGCAAATATGTTTAAAACGACACTCGAAATACTTGCTGGATAATAATGTGATGATTTATGGCTGATTTCAAAAAATTTCTTTAAATTTTAGAAGACTAAATTGATGGAATTTATAAATTTTAGGCTTAAAAATTGTCTGTATCTCATATTTGCTGACATGAATCAAATGAAAGAAGCCATTAGCTCCCACAGAATCTCAAAAAGGATCATCAGAAGAATTTCTATAGATAAATTATTTATGATCACACAAAAATCATTAGCATTAATGCATAGAGAATAAGAGAATGAATGCAGGATGGGGAGACGAGAGAGCGAGAGCATCGAGAAATGAAGTCAATAAAACTTAATTTAATATAATATATATTTTATAATGAACCAAAATTTTTTACATTAATTTTATTATATTTGCATTTTTTATACACAAATCGATTTTTGTTCAAAATTTTTCTTTGAATAAATGGATTTATAGAGGATATAAAGAGAATTATAAGTAATAATAAAGATTTTTTTTTTATGATTTAAATGTGTGATATTGGAATATTTTGTTTATATGAAGAAAGTGCTGAGACTGAGTAAGTCCAATTCGGGTAATAAGATCTAAAAATGTGTCTGTAAAATTGTCAATTTACTTTAAAAGTCTTGTTTAAATGACGTAAAATATTTTATACTCAACAATTTACACTAAATTGCTGCAAAGTACCCCAACATCACACAAGATTCAAAAAGCACAATAATAGATTGGGAAACAAACTGATAATACATAAATCACCAACAAAATTACTTTTTATACTCAATTCGTTCAACTTTTACTTCCTGTGTCTGCAAATCCAATTGGTAAACGTAAGTTACGACAGTCGATGATTGAATATCCATGAGAACAAATGATGGGATAACATTATCACTGTCGATTGCATTAAATGAACCCGTCGCGCTTCCGGGATTGATATAAAATTTATTTTCATGCTCGTATGCCTCAAACTTGTGAGTATGTCCAGTTATGAGAATATCAACGTCTAATTGTCGTTGGATTAATGCGAGTGCATCAACTGCTCCCCATGGAACGATTTGATGACCGTGACATAAGCCAATTCTGAATTGTCCTACAGTTACGACTTTTTGTTCTGGATAGTTTGGGTTCTGTAAAATGAAATTCAAGTCAGTTTTAAGTAATGAAATTTTTACGACGTGGATTTTTATATCTATTACTGGATTTGATAAAAAGAATGAGCAACTCATGAATATTGATTAGCACTGGATCTTTATACTCCAAGTTAAAATTAACTATGACAAAAGTCAATTGGATCTTTATATTTCAATGGTTCTTAGAATTAGTAGTCACTGGTAATTAAATCAATCACAGCTGGAAGCAAAAGTTTACTTACATCATCGAAATCTCCTCTGACAACATGAACATCTCCGGCTAAGGACTTTAAGAAGTCGTATGATTCTTTTGTACAAAGGTTTCCTGTTACGAGAATATGATGGATACGACCAGGTACTAAAAGTTTCTTGAATTTGCTTGGCAAACAAGAGCTCCTAGAATGAGTCAATTAAATATAATGAAGGAAATTGATAATGAATAAATTTTATCAAAATTTACCTATATGGAATGTGCAAATCTCCTAATACCAAGACCAACTGAAAGGTTAAATGATATGTGATTAGTTGATCACAATAATTGAACACTATCTGCTGTATTTCCTTACCATTTTAATTTAATTAATATTTTTGAAAAGAAGTAAACAAATGAACAATAAATTATTTCGATTAAACAGTTCAAAACACTTTTTTGCTAAGACTTTTTAATCAGAACTAAATCCACAAACAGTATATCACTTAATAATATTAAAAACTTGATTTGATAAGCAGGATAAAGCTGGTAATTAATGAAAAGTTTAATTATTTTTTTTAAGTGTATTGGAGCGGGGTTTTGAACTGGAACGAACGAACCACTGACTTACTGAACAGTCGTTAACGGTTTTGTAGAATTTGAATAACTTTACAATTTGTTTGAATTTTACAATTCCGTTTCCGATATTCTTGTAAACTGCACTTTTAAGCATGTTTTGCTCTAAATCAGATGTGAGAAGCTTTGTTGATGTTCTATACTCATTGATTATAAACTGACTATTCAAATCCAACAATTCCAATATAATTAAACAGTTTATCAGCATCAAATTCTTTAAAGTCTTAATTTTATTGAGCACAATATTTTAAGCATATGTTTCCTTAAGCACTAATAAAAAAGTTCAATTCACCCAAAAAATATGGTGCATGCAGCATGCTCATGGGAAGTTTTTAAAGAAGTAATTATTTTCATACTCTTCAAAACACTTGTACAAGCTGTTCTCATAATATTTCGTCGTTTTATCACTTATTTCCTTCATGTTCGTTTTGATACAATTATTTCCCATCAAATTTAGTTCGTAGTTGAAGCTTTTTGTTGTGTTCAAATTAGAACTCGTCCATTCTGTCAAGAAATTGGGTTCAATGGCAGAAATTTCATTGCTTTGCAAGTTGACAGTCGCGAGGAAATTTTTATTAGCAAACCACCCAGACTTGATGACTTTTATTCTATTATCATTTAGAACTAATGAACCCAAGTTCGACAATTTCATGAATGCATTAGGATGTACGGTACTAATTTTGTTCATGCTCATTGAAATTAATGTTAGAACTGGCATTGTGTCAAATGTTCCTTTCCCAATAACCTCGATGAAATTAAAATTTATTGTTAAAGTTGTCAACGACGTCAGACCTTTAAATGATGCAGCAGTTAATTCTGTGATTTGATTATACGAAAGATCTAGCAAGTAAGCATTTGAGCATCCTATTGCGAAGCCTTGACCGAGTGTCTCAATTGAATTCTTTGCCAAAGAAATTTGATGTAATTTCGAACATCTTTTGAAGGAATCTGTTGGAAGTTGCTTCAAATTAACTTCGTACGCATAGAAATATTCCAAATTTGGCATAATTTTAAAAATGTTTGAGGGGATGTACTGCATGTCTAAATCCTTTGAAATAGCATAAAATCCAGTCACTGCTGGATAATATTGAGCACCATTTTCAGATCCAACAATTTCAATTGTCTCATTTATTGATTCTATTTTCTCAATCTCAATAGCAATGCAGGTTGTTTGTAGCGGTGCTTCACAAACAATATTTGATGCAGTTACGCATGTTGCGATAAATGCGATTACACTGAATTTATAGGATACCAAAAAATGTTATTTTCGTCATCGATTACTAAATAAGCCCTACTTACCTTATTATTTTTCGTATGATAAGCATCTTATCAGGTATAAATTTTATATCAAACTGACGATAAATTGGCTTCTCTATTTTTAAATCGAGTATGGTATTGAGAATATTGCGAGAGATACATATTTATTACGTTTTAAATAAATGGAGATGCGATATGGAATTAATATCCATTCCTTTAAAAAACTCACAATTGGACTATGAAATTACATTATTTCCATGTTAAGCCATGTTATTTCCAAATCGAGTGATTCCCAAAATATTACAATTCAATAAGGTAATTACTTTTTGCTTAAAATGGTTGTACAATCAGTAATATGACAACTTTTGGTGCTATTGTTATACATGCTAAGTACATGCGAAGATTAAACCGTGAAATTTACTAGACCTATGACTGGTGACTGGTGTGAAAAGCACTGTTCTAAACAATAGTAGTACACAAATATTGCTAAAGAACCCTTCCATCAACCTCAATGTTTGGAAACTTTTGGCTTATTTTTTCTCAATTTATTTAAAATAAAACTAATCAATGAAAATTTCTTCAACTTAATCTTTTTTGATACCAAAAAATGCACGTTTTCAACAGCAACAAGAGCAAAACTTATAAAAATCGCACAAGCTAATACAATAAATATCCATGAAGACTCTTCAATACTGATTGCTTTGATTTTCGTCACTGACTTATTACATTTTGGCTTCTTCTTTTGCCACTTGTTGTCATGATATTGAAGGATTCCTGTTTCTTTAAACCTTAAAAATCCAACAGTGAAGATTTCTCTTAGCGGTGATTTCTTCGCAAAAGCAGCAGACAATAGACGGTTAGGAAATAGGAGAACTTGATGAATGTCACAAATTTCTTCATCTGAAAAAGTCTGCGATATCACAGAATAAGCATATGCTGTATCAACTTGAAAGGCAAATCCACCTAGTCGCATTTTCTCAATTCCACAATTAACTGAATAAAAATTTCCATTTTTTGATCCGCGCATCAATCGAGTCTCGTACAGTTCATGAGCCAGTGGATCTGTTGTGCTTTCAAAAAATTCACGATTATAGACAACTTCTTCCATTCCAATCTCTAAGCTGCTATCAATTAGCTGTCTTAAATTATTTATGGTCATTGGTGGACTTATTAGTAATGAGCTGACAATAAATGAGCTGTAGAACTGATAAATGATGGCTGAAAAGGTTATGAAGATAATCAAAAAAGTTCTCGTTGAAGATTTTAAAAAATTTTCCATCAAGCCCTGTTGACACATAACTCCAATTGATGTCATAAATGCCCGAATAAAGGTCACATTCTTTACTTTATCACTCTTCATGGTCAATGTTACAAATATTGATACAGTAAACATGATGATAAGTATTAAATACCATACCAATGGTGATAAAGGCAATAAAAATGGATTACGGAGTGAATTTTTTGGATGTCGAAAGAGAATTTCTGGAGCTGTAATGAATGTCGTCAATGTATGATCGATAAAATATGATCTATCAATTGTATGTCGAAATGGTGAGATGGAGAAATCAATTTGTTTTGCTAGAAACATCCTGAGAACTCCGTCGTACGTGCCATTTCGAACAAATCCCCATGTTGGTGTTCGATGTAAGAACATGCTGTTGGGAAATGGTTTCAGTGTTATTAAAATCTACAGAGGTGCTACTAATTCTAATGATTGACACCTAAGTGCTCTGGTAGTGTTTTGATTCAAATTTGCAAAAAAGAAGAGGTTAACAGTCTCAATGCTAATACTCTAGCTCTGGCAGAATCATCCACATGCAGCTTTAATACCCCCGATTCCACTATAATTATATTTGATTTAAAAAGCATAGCATAGCTTATAATGATCATTAAAAACAAATTTTTTTTTTTGAACCTTTGTCATAGTTGAACGTCACAAGCATCGGTATCAGCTATCTCTGTCATATTATGTCAAAAAACATTAATATATTCTCATCACAAAAAATAAAATACTTAAAGTCAAATGTAAATGACCTTTTATGATATGATAAGAATTGGGTTCTATTTACGAATAATCAAAAAGTTTTTTTTTGAATTTTCATTAAACTTTTAACAAGAGAACGTAATGAAATCAAAAAAATATTTGCAGTCAATATTTATATTCTTGTCAGGATTTACTTTAATAAAATGAAATTGTACTTTGAACCGGAAAACGTAAGTTTGAAGTTTTGTGTGGTCGTGAAGTACGGCCGAGACCCATATCGACACAGTTCAAAAGTTATACCTAATTTATGTCATAATTATGTCAGCTACAAAAACACTTAGTTTGAATTTTGTCACCCTCGGGAACACTATGAACCAGTATAGCTGATTTTGGTCCAAATCTCGGCCATACTTCACACTTATATGAACCACATTTTCTCGTAAATGTTAAAATATTATTAAAAAGTAATTAATTCTGAATTATGTTGCTATTTTGTCAAGTGTTTTAACATAAAGAATTTGTTTTTTGGTTTCCACAGTGAAGAGTATGAACAAAATTCAGATGTGGTAGTCGAAATTTTAGATTTCGATTTTTTTTAAGCTATGCATTACAAAAAGTAATATTGGTATGTGATTTATGTCAGAATTATGTCAATTCAAATAAAACATCCAAAAAATTTATTTCAAAGTACACCGTAGAAAATCAATTTTCAATTTTGGACTAGGGCGACCCTAGTCAAAATCAATTTTCTCACTTTTTTCTTCGATGGTTTATCCAAATGGATTGAAACTTTGCATAATTATTTTAATGCTTAAAACAAATACAAATAAAACATCCTAAAATTTTTTTAAGCAAAGAACCAAGAAGGAAATACATTTTCAATTTTGGACTAGGGTCAACCCTAGTCAAAATCAATTTTGTCACTTTTTTCTTCGAGGGTTTATCCAAATGGATTGAAACTTTGCATAAATATTCTAGTGCTTAAACCAAATACAAATAAAACATCCTAATTTTTTTTTGAGCAAAGAACCAAGTAGGAAATACATTTTCAATTATAAATTTGGAACAGGTTTAGTCAAAATCTAGTTTTTTACTTTTTTTCTTCGAAGGTTTATCCAATTACAGTGAAACTTTGTGTGAGTATACTAATATTTATACAAAACAGTTTTAAATATCTAAAACAAGAAATGTATTCTATGTGTCGTCGACACAAATTTTATAAATTTGGTTGTACATTCAAAAACAACGTGACTTAAAATTTTGCCAAAAAAATGATTTTTATTAATTCAGGAATGTGTGACCTGAGGATTAGAATGCTTATACAAAGTTTTACTGTATTTGGATTTATCCTCGAAGAAAAAAAAAGTGAAAAACTAGATTTTGACTAGACCTGTCCCAAGTTCATAATTGAAAATGTATTTCCTACTTGGTTCTTTGCTCAAAAAAATTTTAGGATGTTTTATTTGTATTTGTTTTAAGTACTAGAATATTTATGCAAAGTTTCAATCCATTTGGATAAACCCTCTAAGAAAAAAGTGACAAAATTGATTTTGACTAGGGTCGACCCTAGTCCAAAATTGAAAATGTATTTCCTACTTGGTTCTTTGCTCAAAAAAATTTTAGGATGTTTTATTTGTATTTGTTAACAGCACTAGAATAATTATGCAAAGTTTCAATCCATTTGGATAAACCCTCTAAGAAAAAAGTGACAAAATTGATTTTAACTAGAGTCGCCCCTAGTCCAAAATTGAAAATGTATTTCCTACTTGGTTCTTTGCTCAAAAAAATTTTAAATGTTTTATTTGTATTTGTTAAAAGCACTTGAATAATTATGCAAAGTTTCAATCCATTTGGATAAACCCTCGAAGAAAAAAGTGACAAAATTGATTTTGACTAGGGTCGCCCCTATTCCAAAATTGAAAATTGATTTTCTACGGTGTACTTAGGTCAAAAAAATTTTTTGGATGTTTTATTTGAATTGACATAATTCTGACATAAATCACATACCAATATTACTTTTTGTAATGCATAGCTTAAAAAAAAAATCGAAATCTAAAATTTCGACTACCAAAACTGAATTTTGTTCATACTCTTCACTGTGGAAACCAAAAAACAAATTCTTTATGTTAAAACACTTGACAAAATAGCAACATAATTCAGAATTAATTACTTTTTAATAATATTTTAACATTTACGAGAAAATGTGGTTCATATAAGTGTGAAGTATGGCCGAGATTTGGACCAAAATCAGCTATACTGGTTCATAGTGTTCCTGAGGGTGACAAAATTCAAACTAAGTGTTTTTGTAGCTGACATAATTATGACATAAATTAGGTATAACTTTTGAACTGTGTCGATATGGGTCTCGGACGTACTTTACGCCCACAAGTTTTGTGACGCTTTATGAGAGCATGGTTGAAATCTGTCATTGGTAGAGTAGCTATAATTATGCTTTTAAGGACTTGAACATTTCGAGCTGCCATTGTTAGCAAGAACTTAATTAGAGGTCCATAAGACAGCTAGTGCTAATAGTAAACAATTTACCTGTAATTATGTTTCTCAGCCAATATTTTATGGAGCCTATACTGATGACGATGTTGTGCATCAATTGTCGGATTGTCATAGCTCTCCAAATATTCCTCAAGCGTCTGATTTTGATGTATTCCAGTCACGACAACACCAGCATTAAATGTAATTCCACGTAAATCAGATCGTCGATTCAGTTTCACGCCCTTCATCTCGAGTGTCAGTCCATCGATTACATTGTAAGTTCCCTTGTGGCTTATCACTAGCTCTGCATTATATTTAGAACTTGGATTATAAACATCCAGCAAAGCTATGTTCTTATCGTTTACAATAGCAAGTGTAATTTCCGCGTCAAAGTTTATATTTTCATGATTCAGCAGTTCTCTCGTCTCATTGTAGTCTGTTGATAGCATCAACCAGTAATATGATGAATTGAAGTAATTGCGGTTTGAAGAAATGTCAAACAATTCGCTGGTTTCTTCACAATTTGCGTCGAGAATCACGCCTAGATTTCTGTAATTAATTCGCATAAATTTGTCCACAATACTTTCGTTGACTGACTTTATAGACATATCATAGAAAGACATAAACTTAAAGTCATTCACTTCATTCCACTTTTTAATATCGAAGGAATTTTCGCAGAAAAAAGTAACTCCGCATGATAATTTCATCTCGTTCAAAAAGTCGATCACAAATGCATAGTTAAACTCAAGGCTGTGGACTGAATTCAATAAGGCAGCAATAAAAATTAAATTGTATTTTAAGATCATTTCTTTATTGCGTTATTGCTTTTAAAAAGTTTCCACACGAAATCGGAAATGACAATTGAGGACTTTTGGTTTCTTTCTTCTTCCTTTTATATTCAATTTGTAGCAACTTATGCACTCAAATATTCAAATTGGATGTAGTAAAATTATTGGGTAATTTAAGACAATTTTGATGATTTACTCGTAAATGGTAGCAGGGAATTGATGGAAGCAGTGTTTGTTATTTTATTCGCAGTGATAATGGAGATTGACATAAAATGTGAGTGATGAGATTCAAATATAATAGACGTTCATCACGAACAGCTCTAAATAAAGAATTCTGAATCTTTGCAAAACTTTTGCCCTCAATTTAAAGTTGGGAATCACGTTTCAGCACAAAAAACTTTTTGAGAATATTTTCAAAGGAAAATTTCTAGGAAATGAGTAAACCAATTTGTACTTATTTACTTCCATTTCATGTACGTCATATGTTTTTGCTGACTTCAACCGCATTTGAGAAACTAGAAATTAAGTTTTCGTATTCGATTGGAAATGATGTTTTGAGGAAATCGTTTAAAGGATTCAGCAGTCGAAGATTAAAGTCTTAAATCTAAGCAAAAACAATGTCCAAAATCAAGTAAAGATCCAAAAACATGAAAATTGTTCATTACTCAAAATAAGAAGAGTCACCAAACAAAAGAATGCAGCACGTAGGTTAATTACTTTCACATCATAAAGACACAGAGTAAAGGAATTTATATAAATATTTATATTTTCGGGAATTACAGTTTTAATGAAAATTATTCAGAGTATTTTGTTATCGCATGAAACGTGCCGTGTTGTTCCGTATTTCCATCAATTTGTATTTTTTATAATTTTAATGAAAATATTTAAAGTAGAAATTAATGATCAGTCGCACAATATTGAATTTCAATATTCTCATCCAGTCCAGCCGTATGTTGACAATTACATTCTATTAGTGATATGTTGATAGTGAGAAAATGTTCGTAATATTTAAATAATGATCTGTAAAGTTCAAGGATCTTCGAAGACACGAGACTCTTTATTCAATTTAAACAAAATTAAGGCAATGACACTCTTTCATCTGAGTTGATGTGCTTTCCGTTTCATGCGATGTTCTGCAGTGCCAACATGTGAAAATGAAAGTCATTGCTGTATTGCTTATTAATTAGCATTAATTTTCTATTTTTGGTGGATATCCGTTCAACTCAATTCATCGAGTCGTGACAAAATTCTCAGTTTTTCAACATGTGTTGACAGCTTTAACAGTCAGTGTAATTAAAAGTGAATAGAACTAATTTAAAATTGCTTCACTTTTGAAGGTAAATAACTAGATTTTAGAAGCTTATACAGCATTACAAAGAACGTATGACACCCTTGATTAGCTCATGTAACAGAAGGTAATAAATCTGGCAATAACCATAAATTCATCCCTAAATGTTCATAAAAGAGTGAGCTAAATCACCGAAACATGTGGATTTACTTCTCAACATCAAATTCAATGACTTCTGACCATAAACCACAACATTTCTTTTATGAGAATTTCATGCCATGACTGACCTAATGCCACAGACTGATATGTTTTGAATTAGGTCATTTAAAATTCATTCCAATTATGAAGAAAACAAATATCAGATAAAAGAATGTTCATGCCTTAAAAGATGACGATAATAATTATCAACATTATTATTATTTATTATGTTTTATGAGACATTTATTGATTTTTTTGTCTAACAAGTCTATGACATTAAAAAATACATCACATTCACGATAGAAATGTTCTTATTTACTTAATGAATAGATAATCTACTGAGCTAATCGGTATAGTTTGTTATCAGTTAAAATTATTGTTCTACACTACAAATAAATTCATTTTTTTTTTGTTCCTCGTCCAAATGAATAAGCAACATAACATTTAACATAAAGTCCATTTTAAGTTATCAACAAAGATTTTCATATGTCAAGGAATGAACACATGGAAAGTCATGAAAAATCCAAAAACTGAGTCCTAGCTTGGTCAATTTCTTAGGAATCAGGAACTTTTGGATTTAACAGCAGTCTCCATTCCTTGACATTTTTCGTCTATCTCTCAAAAAAATAATCTAAGGTACATGTGATATTATTTTAGTAAGAACACACTGTCTCTATGGTGTTGTACTTATGGTTGCATTCGAAACAGTTGAATGAATTTCGGATGGCTGATCATTCTTCAAATATGTTGTGTCTTCATTTTTCTTTTTATTGCGGCTGTATAGAAAAATATGTATTTTATGGATGATTAAAAAGGCATAACACAAAAAATAAAAGTATGTTTAGTGTATGTCATGGATGGGAACATATAAAAGGAATGAGCATGTAGGATAAAAAGGATTTAAATGACGATTACAAGCAGTTTCTAGTGCGTTTTTCGTATGCATTAAAAAACATGAGAACTTTCATTCCAGGTCAATCAGGGAAGATGGAAGAAAAACAAAAATAAATCCATTCAATCCTTTAGAAATGAAGCAACGAAATTAAGTTAGTAATTCAGCACATCAAGGAGGGAAGTTTATTTTTATTGTCGTCTGTAATTTATGCTTTTTTGAGTTTTTGGAGTCATTCACAAATGGAATGAGATTTAAACGGTTAAAAAAATAACTGTTTTTCGGATTTAAAGTTTAGAACTTTGAATTTGAATATATATCCGTTACAAAACAGTTTTGAACAAATCATTTGTGAATGACCCTCGTTTGGTTTGAGAGATAAAAATTTCAATATTAAATCAACTGGACCTTGCACCGGATCTTTAAAAATTGCGCATTTAAGTTACATAATAAAATGCAAATTGAACAAGTCTGCAGAATTTTGCAGTCAATAATAAAGCCATAAGATCGATTCCAGTTTTATCAAATGAAAAAAATATATTTATGGCTATTTTAAGAATCTTTTAAAAACAAATTTGAAGAAATTCCAGTTTTTTGTGTATCTTTAATAATGAGATGAAAAGCTGCTGTTTTGTGCCGTTTAATGAAATTAGAGCCTCAGAATGAATGTTTATTTGTGCTTAATGAAATTTTTGAAGATTCACGTGGAAGTTAAATTAATGATAATTTTGTATGCAAATCTGTGTCCTCAACAAGAAGCAGTAAATTTTCTGTCTCTCGCACCAAATGCAGGTTGCAAAGTTGCCATGCCAATAAAATGAATAGTGTTAGTCACAAAATATCAAGTCACTAGGCTGACGTTTGTTTTTGGTCCTTAGATATGTTTTCTTGATCATATTTATGTTGTTCTGTTTAATGTCACTTAAAAATTAAATTTTCATTACAATTCTAGTCACTTCAAAAGATGAATTCGATTGAAATTAATCACTCACGATAAATTTGTAGCCAAGATGTGTCAAGAAAAAATTATAGAAAATAAGCTGTGCGATTTCTCACGTAGCTACGTGGATCGCTATTAACATAAACATTAAAAAAATTTACCTGAATAAGAATAAAAGTCTGTATTATTTTAAATGAGATTTTTTGCGTTTTGAGAAACAAATTTATGGGAAAAGTATTGCTAGTTTGGTACGCAATTTAGCTGGTGTGTTACAAACTTGTTTCAAAATTAAACGGTTTTCTTAAATTCAAATTTTAGCAGAATTTAGAGATTTGAAATTTTGGACTTCAAAATTATAGGTTTTCCAAAAAATTTGAATATCAACCGTTTTTGAAATTTTGAATCAAATAGAATTTTAAACGGGAAATCTTTTAACTTTAAAATCATTAAATTTATTCGAGGTAATATCAGGAATTATTAGTAAATAAGAAATTTTCCCGTGCAATAAACTGCATTTGAACCAGTCAAAAGCTCCCCAATTAGCAACACTTAATGGTAGTGAACTGAGAAAAATGGAGGCAGAATGTGAGATAAAAGAGGTAGGTAGACATATTTAGAAGAAAATAAAGTCACATGCTTATGCCAAAAAAATATAGGAAGAAGAGAAGAAAGCATTCTAAATTTATCATGCAAGAAAAAATATTAAAGATAAAGAAAGGAAAAAAAACTAAAAAAAGATCTTTTTATGTCACTCAACCTTCATAAGGCAGTCATGAGATAAACAACCATCCCATTTGCGTACTTTTCTGAAAAGTACTGATAAAACTGATCTTTTTTTGTATGCGAAAAAACTAAAGGAACTAAAAATACGTCTACGTCCAGTTATGTAAATAATAATGATACTATAATGCCAATATTTCTAAAATTATGACAATCATGCAAGTTTAAAACTTAAAATATCTTTTTTAAAAAAAGAATTGCGAATTTCTTCAAATAAAATTTTGAATATCATTTTCATTATCATTTAATATCTCATTTTTTTCGTATCAAGCAGTGTGAACTCTTTGATCATTCGGATCAATTGGTAGTGCCATAGCGATGGAATCCAGTGGACAAGTTTGAGTCAATGCTAACGACGATGTAGTAGTTTGCGATGGATGAAGATTGCCATCTCGTCCGGCAATCGGAGAATATCCTGATTGTTCTCGTTTTTGGAAAAACGCGCTATAATTGAGAATTTTGTACATATAAAGGAATAGAACGATACACAATGAGCTTAGTCTAAAATATCACTTTTTAAGGAACTTAAATGCTTTTGGCATAATACTTACAGATTCATGCACTTTTGAACGAGGTAGACAGCCAACAGTGGGAATGGTGTCATAATAGCTACAGATACAGGAACAACAGTTGTTAAATCCGCCATCGGTTGATCAAGTGAGAATGTAAGAAGGAAAATTGCAATTCCTGTATTTTGAATTCCAGTTTCAACCGATATTGCTATGCAGTCAGGGGATGATTGTCTAAATATTTTTGAAAATATCCATCCGAACATGTAACCAATCCATGGCAGTCCAAGACCAGCAACAACGATCTGTAATTATGATACAAAACAGAACTCAGCATTTTTGCACATCCTTGTTAAAATTTTGTTGACAGACCTGCCACGAGAATAGTTGAAAGATGTAGAAATTTGTGATGATTGCGAAGACGATAATAAAAAGAATTAGAATCATCGAAACTGGTTTTAAAACTCGCACCAAAACACGAGCGACACGAGGCAAGAATCGCTGAATTAATAATCCAATGGATAATGGAATTAACAGGCCAAAAGCCATTGTGAAAATCTTACTGTAAGGAACACCCAACTTGGCACGTTCAAATATTAATTTTCCAAGTGTAAAGATCCACAATGGCATCATTCCGAATGAAGCAATCGTTGATATTGTTGTCATGGCAATTGATAAATGAATATTTCCGCCCAGCAGAAGTGTCCACATATTACTAGCACCTCCGCCCGGTGATATTCCAGTAAAAAACAGTCCCAATGCCATTTCATGTGCATTCGGGAATAACCAAAATCCTAATCCATATGAGGTCAATGGCATCAATATAAATTGACATATAAAACAAATTATTGGACCGACTGGTCTTCTTAAAATATCTTTAATGGTCTCTAAGCTTAGTGCAGCACCAAAGTTGATGTATAAAATTGATACCAATATGATAACGGAATATGTAAAGAGTTTGTCTATCAGCCGTGCTGGTCGTAAAATTGTAACGCGTAACGACTGATTTGATTTCTCCGTGACGTTGTCACTGGGATTTGTTATTTCAACAAAAATGTCTGTTTGACCTATTTTTACCGATGTGAAATGAAAATCAGAAGAATGAATTAAGAACTGGCATAGATGCGATCACATGAGTGCATTTTAAGTTTTTATCAAAATCATTCACTAACGCAATAGAAATCCCAAAAGTTTTTCAAATTACATAAAAATTCTTACCTAAGAATTCCCCATAAAGATCAAAATTTGTATCCACGGCTGTCTTATTCAATGGGAAGAATACCATCGAATGTTGATGCTTTACAGTCGCAAGTTGTGGATCTCTGCTGACGAGTTGTATGTACGGTTGATTTGTATTATTTGGAGGTTGTAGTTCATTCATAAGATCCTCAGGTAATCCATCTAGTACCAGATGTACTCGTTGCCTTGATGCTGTCTTTAATGTTATTGGATTTGGATCAAAATGAGCCTTCCATTCGGTTACATTTGCACTTGAAAATATCAGCAAATTTGTTAGTAGAAAAAGAAGAACGTGATAAAGGTAACGTAGAGGACACATTGTCACCGGTCTTCTTTATTCGTTGCTCGACTAAATAAAAATGAACGAAAAAAAAATTCTTTTTAAAATTTCTGTGGCTTCTCATTGACATAAATCAATTGGAAATAAATATATTAATTGTGATCTTGCATGACTTTTTATTGATATTGATTTCAAGTGTCATGTATTTCCCAACGTAACATGATAAAGAAAATTCGTGGTCTATTTCACATTTTCGTTTATCTTTACGTCACTTTATACTTCATAAGGCGCAAGAGGGTTGGATTAATTAATTACAAGATACGACAAGAAATTAATCATCAATAATTTTTATTTTTTTTTTCCTTTTTGGCTTCAATAAGAAGCGGTTTTAATCGCTCACAGCACAACGTGAGCTGATAATAGTAAATAAATAATAAACGTTCTTGACAGAAATAAAATACGAAGACACAAAAAAAAAGTTAATTGAGATTACAACTTAATGAGTAATGAAAATTTGTTTGATCGGAAGGCATGTGCTCCTGTAATTAATGAATTTTGTTGCATTTTAACGACTTTTTCAAATTTGTAAATTATGCGAAATTTTTGGGATTTTTGGGATTTAAACTTCTAAAATCCATGGAAAAATTAATTGACTTTTGCATAATTTTTAAACGAAAAAAAGTCGTTGAAACGCATTTTTTTAATTAAATGAAGCAAATTACAATAAAGGCTTGTTATCTATAAAAGTAGAAATTTCGCGTGAATAAATTAAATTTAAATGTCAGTTATTGCAGTTTAATTAAATTAATTCAGTAAAGGCAGCAATTTCCATAACTTCTAGAAATCGTCACGAATTATACAAATAAAAAACAACAAGGCACTTAAATTTCTGTATTTAAAAAACTATCAGACATCGAGTAAAATAATCAAAAATTCATTTGTCCGAAACGAAACTCGACTCAAAAAAATAAAAGGTTCCGGAATGTTTTAACTCACAAATTTAGCAATGAGTAAGAAACGAGTGTCTTAAAATTTTATTTGATTTTTTGCGATAAGATAAGAAAAATCCAATTACAGATCAACTTTACTTTACTTGGTCTTGATATTTGCCTTCAAAATATTTACATTCACAATTCTCTGATGAATTTAATTAACTGTCGATTGACATAATTGAACATTAATTTAATATCGCATAAAGTTATAATTTGTTGACATTGGCCTTGAAGATCGTTTTGTAATATTTTTTTTAAAACTTCTTCTTACTCAATAATCTCTTTTTTTATGCAACACTTATTTATTTTTAATTATTATGGTTACATAAAACTTTCACTGCCTGATTTCTCATCACAATATTACCTTAGAAAAATATAAAAATCACAATCAGGTTTGTTATGCTATTCAGAACTCATACGCTCATCTCACGAGCGCATTTAAAACGCGAATGAATTAATAAAGTCACAAAATTGTGTCTGGATGTTTCAAACTTTAGAGCTTAAATGATTCTCATGGACTATCTTGTGTAAAAGTATTTTTTTACTTACCAAGAGCAAGTTCCTATTATGCACGGACTGAACGACTACTGAGGGATCCTCGATTCAAATCAATTCTATTTGAATGAGATTTTCTGTAGCAAAAATCAAATTCAAAATGAGTACCCCTGTATAATGCACGGACTGTATGACTATATATTGTACTAGATTTTACAAAACAACATAAACAAAATCCGAGAATAAGCAATCTAGTTCAGCATACAGCAACAATAAGTCAGTATCACACAAAGTAAAAAAAATATTGTCTATAATTTAGTTTAGCTAGTTATACAGTTCAGTCCTCGCGCATAATCGGTGCACATAAAGATATTAAAGTTAAAAATGAGTGAATCAAAGAATGGAAACTGTTCAGATCATGATAACAGTGAAGAAACATCTACTGATGCTTTCGGATCAAACCTCCCTACTAAGTGCGTTAAATAAAGAAATTCTACAATTATTTTTTGAATGAATTAAAATGTCGTTTTTACCATTTTCGGTATGTTAATTACAGCAATCGAGCATACGGGAGAATCTACTCAAAAATGCCAACATCTCGTTTTGCATCAGAATATAATATGAATCATCCAAAGCGAGGCATTGCGTTGATTTTCAACCATGAGCATTTTGACATTCCATCATTGAAGAGCAGGTAAAGATTTTCTTTTTTTTTGTTTACTGCCTGCATCTTTTGTTCTTATTTTTGCAAATTCCCTTTTCCACTAATCCTTTATCCTTCCTCTCTATCTTCTTCTTCCTTTTTTTTTCATGCTGGACGTTTAGAATGGGAACAAATGTTGACAGTGAGAATCTGTTTAATAGTCTCAGAAATCTTCATTTTGATGTTTCTATGTATAAGGACTTTAAGTACAGTGAAATGATTGCTGAAGTTTCTAATGGTAAGTGCTCTTTGTGTTCTAGAACCTTTCAAATTATTGTTCTTTTAACGAATTTATATGGTTTTTGAAACTACTGAGAAAAATTGTAAGGTTTTCGGGCATTTCAAGAAATTCAAATCTAATGTAAATCATTTTCAGTTGCTCGTATGGACCACACAGACTACGACTGTATAATTATAACCATACTATCTCACGGAGAAAATGGTTTTTTATACAGTAAAGATACACATTATAAGCTTGAAAGCATCACACAATATTTCACAGCTGATCGCTGCCCGACTTTAGCTGGAAAGCCTAAGGTAAATATTGACCCTTGACAATCCTTTCGACAGTCACATATTTCAAACAGCAATTATCAAATACCATCGGTTTGTGTTTGATTGATTGATTTATAGACTTTGTCATACGCACAGCACAATCACACTTTAAAAAATTCTATTGCATTCGATTTGCTTCAATTTAATTCCGCACATCTATTATGTTACTATTTTGCAGCTCTTTTTTATTCAAGCATGCCAAGGCGATAAACTCGATGGGGGCATTGTTATGAGACGTGAAACAACTGAAACAGATTCAAATGCAACGCATAGCTATTCGATTCCAGTGCATGCAGATTTTCTGATTGCATATTCGACCATTCCGGGTGAGTTTATCATTTACTATTAATCTTTATGCTCTTTGATGAATGAAAGTCATCATTGGCAGTGACCATGAAATAAATTCTCATGTTTATTGGGATCTATCCTTAGCATTGGAGTCTCAAGGACGAACCTTTTTTTTTTGATATAAAGGAAAATTTTATATTCTAATGATTACACTGACATTGAATCGAAGCACAAAGGAAAGGTCATGTATATCTTTCTCAATGAAACTAACACCATTGTTATGTTTGGTGGAAATTTTTTTTCATTACATTTTCTTCTTTTACTATTTCAAACATGACTTTCTAGCACACTTAGGATTTGTTGAGTTTCTTCTTCTTTTTTTTTTGCTGCTCATGACGTTCATTCATCGAAAGCATTTCCTTTTTCTACCAATAATTCACATCCATACATTTTTAAAGCATTGAAATACTCGTGTGATGTGTTTTATTGCTCTTTGTCTGGTTCATCATCACAATTGTGAAAATAAATAGAAAGCATAAAGAAAGGACAAGGAAACTCTTCTTATTGATTACATAAATAATTATCAGCAATTTATCGACTATTTACCCCAACACAAATCTAATTGACTTTTTTTTTTATAATTTAAGGATACTATTCATGGAGAAACACAACCAAAGGCTCGTGGTTCATGCAATCATTATGTGCTGAACTTGATGAAAATGGCAAGAAATTTGATTTATTGACTTTATTGACTTTCGTCAGTCAACGTGTTGCATATGATTTTGAATCAAACACTCCCGACACCCCAACAATGCATCAGCAGAAACAAATTCCATGTACAACAACAATGCTTACAAGAATTTTAAAGTTCAATGACAAAATGTTTTAAGACATGGACGTGTACAACAAACTTTTTTCTACTACTTCTATTTTTATATCAATTCAGACTATATTTTCATATTTCATTACTTCAACTTATTTTTAATAACGTATTTTGGACGCGTTGTGATTCATTCACATTGATAAAATCCTTTTTATCGGTTCTTGACCTACATTAATTATCAAAAGATATCATTGTGAATGTGAAAAAAAAAAATGAAACAAATTTTTCTCGAAACTTAAAGACTTGATAATGATGACGCTTTTGTGGCTTGCTCTACATAAATAATGGAATGTAGACAAAACATTGACTGGTTAGGAAATTTATTGGCTGAATTTAGAGACTGTTTGGCACTTGTGAATCGCTTTTGAAAGCTTTTCGTAGTATTTTAAATGAAATAATAAACCTTTAAGTTTTCAAAATTGTTAGAAAAATCACGAAAATATTAATCAAAATTATAATGCCACAAATGCACTTCAAATTCGTAATGAAACAAAATATTAGCAAGCAAATAAGCCATTTTGTGATGCAAATTATCATCTTTTGTTACTTTAACTATCCATTTATGACATTTTTGAGAGGTTTAAACGATGAAATTGAGAATACGACAAAATGATTTTAAAGAAACATATTAGCTAGTAACATACCTTTCGGTTCAAACGAAATTCATGCAATCCAGTTTTAAATGAGAAGCTTGTTTAATTGGATGATGTGTTGCGCTTCAATCTCGTATAATTGCTGATTTCCGTGATCCAAATCAAAATTATGAAGCTATAATAGAAAAATCGAGTGTAATTAACATTTTTTGATACTGTTCATTCAACAAGATTAATTAGGTCTCTAGAGACCTAGATTCCAAAGATCAATAAGTTAACTTACAATTAGGAAGTACCAATTTGATTTTTTAAAAATTACCTTATTATTTAATTTCAATCCACAATTTCAATGAAAATCGATTAAAATCAGTTATCCCGACTTTCAACATTAATTGATCTTCAATGAGATATCATTCTAAATGGCTTAAAACACTGTTTAACTTATTAAAACTCGAATAATTAAAATCTTCTTAAAATCACTTTGAATCCTAAATTCAAAAATAAAAAACCATACAATTCCAAAAATTCAAATTTGAACCGTTACAAAAATTCACAATTTCTTCAATATCATTAAACTCTCTCAAAAATCTATTTTAAAAATTAATAATTGCATAAGTGAGATTATGCATTTAGCCATCATTTAGAAATGTGAAATTATTATTGAATAGCTTATTAGTATTTAAATATTCTCATGGTCTTCATTTTCTATTTAGTTTTTATGTAAGCTCAACAATATTTCATTTTATGTAACTAGTTAATTTCTGTGTAAGTTGTAATTTGAGTCTTTTCGAAGGCTCACTTTTTAACGGATCAAATTTTTTTAAATAAAGATATTTTTATAGAATTCAACTTTACTATTTAATTTTAGGGTTCGCCCACATGCACACACGTGCACATACATGCAAATTTCCCATGCGCATGTACTGCATGTAAATTTTTAAAACAAATTTTACAAAAATAATTTTTTTATTTAATTTTATTCCTTATATCAAATTTATCAAAAAATTCATAAAAAATATGATAAAAATGTTGGAATTTGCTTTAAAACTGCTTAAAAAGACAGGTTCCTACATGAGAGCACCTCTAATTTGACCTTTAACTCACAAGATTTGGTGTCAAATCGATCTAAAGTGTCCAAATAATCATTATTGAGCCATATTGAAACGAATCCAGCATAAATTAGAAGTTTCAATTTTTTTTCTCAGATATACATGCGCATATTACGTGCGCATGCATGCGCATGTCAATTTGGCGAACCCTATTTAATTTTATTGGGTATAGTGTTGTCATTTGTGTACGACACCTAGCACAGCTGATTTTTTATCTCGAACTTTTTAAAATTAAATTATCACATTAATACCACTCGTCAGTGTTTAAAATGAGTTTCGAGGGAAAAGTTGTCATAATAACAGGCGCTTCTAGTGGTATAGGAGCTCAAACAACGAAGGATTTCGCTAAACTATCAGCTAAAGTGGTTCTTGTTGGTAGAAATGCTGAAAATTTGAAGGCAATAGCCGAAGAGTGTGGTTCAGCTGACAATGTACTGTCCATCCAGGCTGATATGAATGATGAAAATGATGTTAAAAAGATTATAGATGAAACCATCAATAAATTTAATCAAATTGATGTTCTTGTTAACTCAGCTGGAGTTATTGAAGTTGGAACGATTGAAAATACATCAATGGAACAGTATGACAGAGTAATGAACACTAATATGAGATCTATTTATCACATTTCAATGCTCGCCGTTCCTCACTTGATAAAAACCCAGGGTAATATTGTCAATATCTCAAGTGTCAATGGAATCAGAAGTTTCGCTGGAGTTTTGTCTTACAATATTTCAAAAGCAGCTGTTGATCAATTTACACGATGTACAGCACTAGAATTAGCACCAAAGAATGTTCGAGTTAATTCAGTTAACCCAGGCGTTATCATTACAAATATTCACAAACGCGGTGGCATGAATGACGAAGCATATGCTGCATTTTTAGAGAGATCTAAGACTACACATCCTTTAGGCCGTCCTGGAACTGTAAATGAAGTCTCAGAAGTCATAACATTTTTGGCAAGCGACAAAGCTAGTTTCATCACTGGTGCTTCAATTCCAATCGATGGAGGACGTCATGCTACATGTTTACGCTAATTCTACACTCATAACCAATTGCATTATATGGAATTAAATAAAAAAAAATCTATTTTAATAACGGGTTTATCTTATCATGAAATTAATCAATTGGGTAATCTAGTATTAACCACAAGCCATGTTTTTATTTTACTGGTTATTTAAATATGTATTTCAAACTTAAATTGCAGCCAACATCACGTTGTTTGCATTCTTAGGGGTCTTTTATGATTACGTCCATCAAACAGACAGAGCAAAACATTTCACAAAACGTCTTTTGCAGTTTAAAGTATTCTAAATCATACAACCACCCCCCCCCCCCCCCTTTATTCCTCTCAAAAATAATAGACATCATTAAAAAACTTCCCCTTATCACAAAGAACATTATCACTTCCAGAAATCACCTAAATACGCAATTATTACGCAATGAACTTCGCCGGAAAGGTTGTTTTAATTACAGGCGCTAGTAGTGGTATTGGCGCACGCACAACACAAAAGTTGTCACAATTAGGAGCTACTTTAAGCTTAACAGGAAGAAACTTAGAAAATCTGGAGAAGGTGGCAAGCGAATGTAAAGGAAATGAGCCTTTCTTAGTTCCAGGAGACATAACAAATGAGAGTGACACAAAAAGGATATTAGAGGAGACAATTAAAAGGTTTGGTAAGCTGGATGTTCTTGTTAATAATGCTGGAATTATTGAAACTGGAACGATTGAAACTACATCGCTAGAACAATATGACAGAGTCATGAATACGAATATTCGCTCAATATATCATTTAACAATGTTGGCGGTTCCATATTTAATAAAAACACAAGGGAACGTTGTCAATGTGTCAAGTGTTAACGGAATTCGCTCATTTCCTGGCGTCCTTGCATACAATTTATCAAAAGCTGCAGTCGATCAATTTACTAGGTGTGTGGCTTTAGAATTGGCACCAAAAAATGTTCGCATAAATTCAGTTAATCCAGGTGAGAAAGTTCTTTTGCCGTAAAATAAAAGTTGGCAGCATGTCAAGCAACATTAAATAATAAATTTACTTAAAAATTAGGTGTGACAGTAACAAATCTCCATAAAAGAGGTGGCATGGATGAAGCAACTTATGCCAAATTTTTAGAGCATTCTAAAACTACACATCCTCTTCAAAGACCAGGAACAACTGATGAATTGGCAAATGCAATTATATTTTTGGCGAGCGATCAAGCTACTTTTATAACTGGTGCTTCTCTCCCTGTCGATGGAGGCCGTCATGCAACATGCTTACGTTAATTTGTTGAATAAAACCTTTTTTAATGAATCCGATTTTCCACTCAAATGTGCCTTTATTGAGAGAAATAAAAGTCCCGTGTGTATGTCATTTATGTAAATGAAAAATTGGATTTATTTGCTGTCAATTTAAAATTCGAATAAAATTGAATCTCTGTGAATTGGTATGTGCAGTTATTTTACATATAAAGAACAATTTTTATTTGGAAAAACATATTTTTTTTAAAAGACTGATGATACTACAATAAAAACAAATATGCAGCGACCAGATGCAATCTAAATTTATTCCAATTAAAAAAACAGAATCACAGCATCTGAATCAATAAACATTCATAAAAAAAATCCCATCAAGTTTTCAAAAACATGAATGAATACAACTAAATCATTGAACCGGCAAATTACAGGATATAGAATCACCAACACACAACAAATTTGGAGGAGTGAGATGAAACAAAATAAATGTTCCCTTGCAATTTTTATTGACCCGATATCGAATGTCCAGTAATCGGACGTAACATAAATTCTATTGGCGCTTCAACAAAAACAATTTTTCAGTTTCAATCTCATTAATCGCATCTCATTTTGCAGCTTTCTAATGCGATAATGTAATGCGACATTGTTATAACATTGGATGAAAAGCTATGGAGCACAAATAAATTGACACGAGTATGGTCAGTAGCCCATAAAATATAGCGAAAATGTGCATGACAGAATGGATATAATACAATAATATGAAAACCAGCAATGCACTTCATTTATCAGTCAGTCACACAATAATGTAGAATGACCTGAATCAATGACTATCCGTAGTGTAGTGAGCATTACCGGTTATAAGTTTCAGTCCACTTAACAGTGAAATTTGCACTTTTATACAGTAAATAAATGATGTCAAAATAATTGATGAATATCGATTCCATCTCATACTTCACAATACAAAAAAAAGCCACAATTCATACGTTTATATCTTTTTCCCTCTGTAGGAATGTATGCTTGTATACATGCTTTGATTATAGACATTTGTAGTTTCTCTTCTTCAGCAATAAAAACACAAAATATAAATTTATACACTTTGGTCAATGAAAAATTGCATACCATTTGTGTATGGATAGAACAAACCATGCAAATGTTAGTTCTAGATTTAGAGATTGAAATCCTCTTTTTTAGCAAGCTTTTGTGGAATAGTTGAGTAAATACTTTCATTTTGAGATATGGTTAGCACTGAATTAGATATTTTTGTACCTTTCAGTGTTTTATTCTGTTTTATTTGCAATGCCAATGGTTTGCTCCAGTGTTTCCTAATTAATGAAATGCATTAAACTCAGCAGGAGTCGTTAATAGCAATCAATTATATAAAAAAAGTTTCCATGTGAGACAAACTCTGAGGCTTAAATCAATTCCGAGATGACCAATTTTTTTATGTTAAACTTTTCACAATTTCAGTACGTTTACTTGAGCTCAAAGACAATCCCAAATAAACAGCATTTTAGGAAATGCCCCTAGTCAATTCATTTCCAACAGTTTTCTCCAACCATCAAGCAATACTCCTCATATGTGGGGAAACAATATAATAGATTTTTTTTTATTCGTACACAATGAGGAAGTACAACAGACAGACACTGCAAATAGGAAATAAAAAAGGTATGAGCACGTACCTGTGAATGCTTTTTTTTTATTTTTCAATTTGAATTTTATTAGGTTTCCGTTCTCATCTCGGACATGCTCATCGACTGTGATTGATTGCATTTTTTCAGCATTCAAATAATATTATATGTACATACATTCATAAAATATAAAAAAAGAGATTGAATTGAGTAAGTGGACACTTCATGGCAATGTGAATGACTGCAATTTTTTTTGCATGATTTATTGTAGTTTGCTAGTTCCGTTTTGAAATGTTCGAGCTAGTTTGTATTATGGGAAAAATATGGGTTCATGTGTGAATGAAGACGACAATGGAAAATGCATAGGACATGAATTAGTCTGCAATTGTTTCAAAATTCCACATGCGAATGGAAATATGAAATTTTACTAACAATATTGTAATGGAAAATATTTTTTGCATATCAAAAGAGCATTTGTGAATTTTTATTTTTCTGCTGTGAACATTTTCTTGAAATTGCTTTTTGTTATCTATTCCTGAAAGGGAATGACAATATCTCTTTATTCGGAATCGAAGTCTTTAGTCATAGGAACTCTCTCATAAAGATTTTTTTTTTTTTGATTTAGAGCTAAATGAATCTATGCACGAACTCGGTTCATACATCCTCAGTTTCAAAAATGTTTGCTATATTTTTCTTAAAATTGGTATTCAACATTCAATTTGTTATTTACTTGGAACTAGAATTGTTAAATTATTATGAAAGCTTTAGTCTTTGTTAACTTTAAACTTCCTAGTTCGACCCCACTGGTCTGGTTGGCAAATGACTCAAACTTTACTTATGAACTGTTAATCAAATTAAGTTTCCTTTTTGTCTCACATAAAGGGGGGGGGGGGGGGTAAATCTTGATGAACTTGAAAACAAATTTAAAAAGCATCTTGGTTTTATCCTGTTTTAAAATAAGATATAATCATGACATGGTACAACAAACTCCCAGTCAAAGCAACTCTCGTTCAATGGCATTAAAGTTGTATGAAATTTAACACAAAATGAAAGAAACCTAATTTTCTCACTCAATTATTTGTTTGAAAACGAATTCAGCATGTTGTATCTGAATCTTATTGTGGTTTTTATACTGTGGATAAAAAGTCTCAGCATAAATGCATAAATGTATGAAATGGATATGCAAAATTCTTTTTTATTATTTATTCAAAATTGAAAGATACCAACAAAAGGAGGTGAGGGGAAGGGAAATTCTTCCTCAAAAAAACTCTTTGTTTTAAATCTATAAAACAATAGTTGGATTGCCATTGTACTTTGTTTGTCCAAAAAAATAAGAAAAATAAAATGAGAAAACATAGCAAATATGGATTGGTAACATATGTTGTTCCTTTAACCATATCCTGCATTGCAACTAAATAAAATGCAAAAGGAAAACATACGTAGTACATCCATTTTATGTGAGAGCTAAAAGCTGTATAAACATAACAATTCAATGGATTAATTAAAGGCAACTCAATTTTCTCCCTCATACAAAAATTCTGTACGATAAAATTTATTATTTAACAAAAAATTTATTTGCATTAAAAGCTATAAACTATGACTATAGCCATCGATTATAATGGATTGAATTTTACATTTAACGTAGTATTTTATGGAGTTATAGGTAAATAAGTAAACTGTAATAAAAGGATTATTTACAGATGCTTAAATTACACTCTATAATTTATTTTATTCTGATGATTATAAGAGGAAATACTTGGTCGAGTACTTTAATGTTTCTGAAAGGTAAGCATTTATTGAACTTCGCGTGTACTCTCGGTATTATGAGGCATCTTGAATATTCGAACTTGAAAATAACAAACATCATTAGAACTATACAGAAAATTTGTTCTATAACTACGATTAAAGTCTCAACCGAATGAAAAAAATCCGATAAATGCATTCTTTTCTACATCCACGTGTATGATCCCGTTTACTCATTGTGTAAATATAAAATCCCTTTTTAATTGTTTGGTCATCAATATTTCGAAAAAAATCTGGAAAAATCTGAGTTCTTTCATGTCACTGCTTTGAAAATTTATTTAAGCTCCCTGTTTTTTTTTTATACTTGAATACTGCATGAAAAATGTTTATTCAGGTTTATCCTTTTAGAAAAAGTTTATAAGCACCTTAAGCTTTAAAAAATTTAATAATTCCTACCATCATAAAGTATAATTTAATTTTTTAGCAAACTTTTTTTTTTGCTCCTTCCTCTCCTCATTGTTCATGGTCATAATCAACAATTGAATTCTCCACTATCATCTCAGTCCCATGGGGTAGAATGAACATTTTAAGTGCACATTTAGCTATCTCTCTTTCAAGATTGCACACTGCTTGTTTTCCTTTTTTTTCTGGTGAAACAAACTCTAATTGAATAAATTTTTATTTTATCTTCGCTTATCCCATTCATTTATTACGTTCTCTATTAAACTTGCTATTTTTCTACTTCTCGTATCCATTGCCATGCTTTTTAGTCTCATTGTTTGATGATAACACATATACACAGCTAGCTAGACGAAAAAAAAAGATAATATTATTTCGCCAATAAGTTTTACATTCTGTACACAGCATTAAAAGCTTATTTGTTTCACATTGCATGCTGGTCGGAGCTTTGAAAAAATAAAAGATTGAAAAATTGAAAATTGTTTTAAGTGAATTACAGTTTAATGGAAAGATTCTATAAATAGAGAAGTTCTTGAAACTAATATTTGTGAGCAATTTTTTATATTCATCACAAATGAGAGCCCGACCTGATCATGATCAACAATTTGTAAATGATGTTTAGCAACTAAAAGTATTTTAAGAACTCTTGGGTATCACTCGGGAATCATATATTAAGCATGAAATTCAAAGGAAATTGCTGGAGAATTTAATAAACTTTTCAGTCTTTTGTTCGTCATTTAAAAAGCATTTTTGCATTTATGAACCAAATCTAAAACTTGAATTTATTGAAAAATTATTGCAAACATGGTGCAAAAGCTTTCAGCCATATCATTCAATGCTAAACTTTTGATGCACCATTGATAATTGAATATTTAAACTACATACTTTGAATAAACATTAAATTGAAATATTTGAAGTAAGGCAGGACAAGCTTAAACTGTGATTTTGTGAGTAAAGTTAGAATTAAAGGTTGTTTCAAGTCCGAAACTCTTTGCTACAAGACAGGAAAGAAAGTCAAATTTCAAAATTAAGTTCTTAAAACCTATAAATTGCTCATTAACCTTTTGATTCCCGAATAACGACTCATCAACAATCAAAACAATCTGAATTCAATAAAACATCATGAAAGCCATATGAATCAAGTGACAATAATTCATCCTTAAGGCCAATTTCGAATTTTCCAATAATTTTCCCATTTTCAGTTCATAAAAGGTGCAAAAAGCTACTTTTTCCGTACTCGACATTGCATTTATTGCTTTTATGTTTCACTCGTCTATATCGCTGTTGTTTCTGTTGTACCCTTTAGTGTTTATTTTTTTTAAACGCTCTGTGAGGATCAGAGAAACTTTTTTTATGTTTAAAATATGCGAACATTTTTACAATGCCAAAAAAGAAGAAGAGTTGTGAACTTTTTTGTTATGTTCCCGTGCACAAAAAAAAATAGAGAGAAAATAATTTTACTGATAAATGTAGTAGACATATAACACACAGCAAGGAAGGAAGAAAAAACCTTTATTTGCATCTGTTTTGTGTATGGAAAAAGGGAACATCCACTAAAGTTTGTGGCACATTCTGTTGCAATATAATATTTTTTTTCTGAATAGAAATTATTTTTTTTTTGCTCGTGTTTGAAACATACAACTTTATTTCGTGGCTGTCAAAGTACTTTATCTATTCTGGTTCTCACTCTTTCAATTCTATCTCCCTGTTTTTTATACGCGTTGGCAGATGAAATTTTATTTTTTATGTTGGGTGCAATTTTTACACATGTAAAATGAAAAAGTACATACTTCATATTTCATAAACTTATGAACGTCCAGAAAGATCCAATGACTTTTTTTTTACAGCAACATGAATTTGCAAATTGCATTTCTGCTTTTGGAATTCTGATATGAAATTCTTATGCATGTATGAATAGAAATGAAATGTCAAAGGACAAACAAAAATTGATACTGTGCTCAATAACGTTCTAGGAAGTTGGAAATTCTAGAGCAATAAGCAAGTAATTTAACAAAGTTTTCTACCTAAATAATGTGACGTCATTTGCGTTATTCAATTTGATCTATTGAACGTAGCTACAGTCTAAAATGTTTAAGATTTTAAGTTCATCATTTGTGCATTGATCCATTAACATTAGTCGTGTAGAATAGAGCTTAATTTCAGGAATTCCTAATTTTAGTTTTTTTTAACAATGCAATGAAAGGC